TCTAATCCCTGACAGGCAGAACCCGCCATCGATAGCCAGGAGGAAGGGGACCATCAGCACGCTGACGGGGGGAACCCCAACCTCCCATTTACACCACTAAACACATATCACAACAACACACGACATTGTATTCTAATAATAAATACCTTTAATTTGATGTGCATATCAACCTATGCTTCCAGTCAAGATTTACTTCCGACTCCTTGTGGGCCGTCGCCCTGAAGAGTTATTTGGATCACTGAATGTGAAGTTATGGGGATCATTTTAAAGGGAATTTTAAGCAAAGAAGAATGCCGCAAACCGTACTTCAAAAGGACCATCCGTTTAAAAATTACAGTTGTTTAAAGATTTAATTTAGTGTTTTAATTTAAAGAAATTGGCTAATTTTGAAAATCTTTGAATATCTGCCATTTTGCGCAGGATCAACCTTTTGAAGTGCGGTTTGCGGCATTGTTTTCAGTTGAAGTAGACCTTTAGAATGATGTACAACTGAACATAGGCTGTCATTAAAGATTTTCTTCTGACCCCCGACGGGCCGTCCCCCAAAGGTGATATCCGACCACCATGTACACAGAAAAGTAGCTTACAATTTCCAGTAACGGTATACCAAATGTGGTTGTGATATCGTTTGTCGAGTAAAAGTTATAAAGCCGACCTAAGATTTAACGGTCACCCTGTATATTAATAGGCAAGCATGTTTCTTTAAAACCTTTTTTTTCAGCTTGTGGGCATCGCAGGAAAAATCTTCGCATACTGTTAGAAAGATATTTTTCTGTAGGTGTGCAGAATCCCTTTAAAATTAAAATAGTCTCAGAAATAAGCACAAGAAATGAATTTGAAATTTGAAAAAAATTAACATGAGCTTTATGGGTTTCCATGCCGGTGACGAAATGACAACGAAATATAAACAGAAAATCAAAACAAATTGAAGAAACTCCAATCACATGTTTTATTTACAGTGTGGGGTGAAAATAGAGAAGTCTGTACATTACAAATTTTTGGTCGAGTTTCGACCACTGGACGACCTCTAGTACTAATGAAATTACATTAACATTTGGTTTGACAGCTACATTTAAGTAATGTAAAATAATGTTTACATTCAGACTATTAACATCATTATTTTAAATTTATAATCCTTTCCCTCTCTGTTCTGATATCCGAGCATTATTTAATACTAGTGTACCTGTTGCTCGAATTCGAGCAATTGCAAAGTATTGCAGGCGTTATTTCAAAACTAATAAAAGTCACAATTTCCGTTGACTTAAAAGAGTCAACTCAAAGATAATGTAATCAATCACTCCACTTCAGTTATCGAAACTGAAAACGAACTCACTCTGAAAACGAACGCTCACTCCACTATTATCGAAACTGAAATGACAACAAACTCACTCTGAAAACGAAAGCTCTTGAGTGTATAATGTGTTTACTATGAACAGCTGTTTTAGTGTTATATGCACTTAAAACGAATTATTCGTCAGTTTAAGTAAACAAAATTTTTTCTTCATAAGAAATACATTGGGATTTTGATGGCCTGTGGGGCAAAGCCCGAGGACTTTTATAAACAGGAATTGGTGAAAGGGGGAGTCTACACAAAAAATACTTAATTTTGACACCTCGTTTGTAAAAATCCGTCCATTATTAACGGAGGAGTAGTGTTTCGTAGAAATCGCCTTCACGTATTATATATAAGGATGTTTGAACCAGCTGTGTGGAATTGTGAAATCAAAATTCATTTGACAGTTAGTTCTGGTTGTTTACATTTTTAAATTATGTAGGTTTGCTCTTGTTACTATGGATACCATCAATCAATATTTTAAAATCTCTCACCTCAAATTTTTCAAAGCCCACGGGGCAGAGCCCTAGGACAATAACGAAGAGGGAATAGTTGTATAATATGTATCCTCGGAGCTGTAGCTTCAATTACGTGCAATTTGAGCCCAGTCGGTTCAGTACTTTTTGAGATTAGGCTATCTCATACAAACACACAGACACACACACCCACACAGACACCACCTCTTCTTTATAATAGTATAGATAGATAGATAGATTACTATTATAGTATTATACAGGGTTAGTAAAAAGTGTGGAGACCCCCTGTTGTTTTTTTAACGGCCCATACTAGAAAAACTAAACTCGGCACACCATTATGGCATGTTATGAAGTACTTTTTGTGCATAACCGCCACTTGGTGTTCATCCCCAAAATGGGGTATTTTGGGGGAAACTAAAAAATTTCAAATACAAAGATCCATCAAGTGACCCCTCATTTTGAAGGTCCTGGTAAAAGAAAACCAACAACGCAAACTAGAGGTCTCTATCTCAGTTCAGTACAAAATGGCAGCCAATTGAAATTCTCATAAGTTCCCAAACCCAAAATAGGGGATTTTGGGGGAAACTCAAAAATTTTAAACGATAAGCCCCATCTAGTGACCCCTCATATTTAAGGTAATAATAAAAGAAAACTAACAACGCAAACTACATGTCTCTATCTTAACACAGTAAAATATGGCAGCCAATTGAAATTAAAATTGCAAGTTATTTCCGATTTCTAAAGATTTCAATCAGCTTCCATTTTTTACTGGATTGAGATAAAAACCTCTAGTTTGCGTTGTTAGTTTTCTTTTACCAGGTCCTTCAAAATGAGGGGTCACTTGATGGGGATTATTATTAAAAACTTTTGAGTTTCCCCCAAAATCCCCCATTTTGGGTTTGGTAAGCAAGTGGCTATTAGGCTTAAAAAGTACTTCATAACATGCCAAAAAGGTGTGAAGAGTTTAGTTTTCCTAGTGTGAGCCGCTACAAAATTTACAGGGGGTCTCCAGACTTGGAAAGCTGCAAGTTAAATTCAACTTCCGAGAATTTCAATTGGCTGCCATTTTTACTGGATTGAGATAGAGACCTCTAGTTTGCGTTTTTGGTTTTCTTTTACCAGGACCTTCAAAATGAGGGGTCACTCGATAGGTCTTTGTATTTAAAATTTTTGAGTTTCCCCCAAAATCCCCCATTTTGGGGATGTACACCAAGTGACGGTTATGCCCAAAAAGTACTTCATAACATGCCATAAAGGTGTGCCGAGTTTAGTTTTTCTTGTATGGGCCATTAAAAATAACAGGGGGTCTCCACACTTTTTACTAACCCTGTATATTGTCTGTGCTATGGCTAAAATACGTTTTTATTTCTGCATCAGCTGGAGACACTCTCTGAATATCTGCTTCAACCATTTGTTGTCAAACATTGATCTCGTAAAATAGTGAAATTATTTTTCGTATGCACTAATAGAGCAAGGTTTGTACTAAAAGAAACCCTTCTTTTAGTTTAAAAAATACATGTTTCACATTTTTGACCATTGTAGTAACATCATTATAGCTTAAAAAGTTGATAAGTTATAGTTTACATAATATTTAGCACATTTGACGGATAAACCTTTTTTGAATTCGTCATATTATAAGTGTATGAAAATTCATATATCTGTGTATCAATATCTACTTATCTCATTTCTGTTCAATGGAAGTTATACAATTTCAATGACACCGGTACTTAAATGGGAAGTCTTACAGCTGTTATAAAACTGTGCATACATTTGATCTTACGAGTAAATTTGCTACCAATTGATATAGTATGACAATTCTATTCTCCTGAAGTACTTAGAACTCTACCACTACTCACATTAAACCTACCATATTTACTTTTGGGCTAGTGATTAATTTATTGTATTAATCATACAATATAGTGAATAGTGTAGTCATTTATTTATTTCGCTTCTATGACATAGCTCTATTTTGTAGAAATCAATTATGCAATCATAACAACAGAAATACTGCATCATTACATTTTACGGTGACATAGTATTTATTTTACATATAAAAAATTTAAGCTAATGCAATAATTAGTTCAATTAGAACCATTGAATATTGAATAATTTAAACATTAATCGAAGACGAAGCGGTTGACAACTTTCAAACAGTTAACTAGGCCTAATCGCCTTCAAAACTAATATTTCAATAATTGCAATGCGAACTGTATGCACTGAGGTCGGCAAACAGTGTTCACTGTGTGCAGGCACTTTGGACGTCGTGGTACTTGGACGTCGTGCAACAGTCAAATATTGATTGGACGTCGTGGCACTTGGACGTCGTGCAACTGGCAGAGGCTTTGGACGTGGTGCAAATGATACTTTTTTACAATTCTATAGTGCGCTGTTTCACGACGTCCAAAGCTTGTAGAAAGACTATATTTTTGGCAGTTACTGTACTTTTGGACGTCGTGGCACTTGGACGTCGTGCAACAACTAAAAAAATACTTTTTGGACGTCGTGGCACTGGAAAAATATTATTGGACGTCGTGGCACTTGGACGTCGTGCAACATTCCCGATTTTTTAATATCACAACATGAAAAGTGTCGATTTTATTCTGATGTGGGATTATATTTTCTTTACTGTCTATCGTTCTTATTTTTTGTATGTAGGTTTTCCAATGTTAATATGAGTTATGTTTTCAATATTTTAAAAACACTTACTCAATGTTGCTGAAAAAGGTTTGTTAACTTTTTTGTATAAGAAGAAATAAGTAGTAGCCTAAATGAATAACAAAGCACCCCTGGAAACATGGATTGAAAATTGCTTAAAACCTGTATAAAACTGTCATCTGCAGATTCATAGTTAATAGTTAAGGATGATAATGCAAGAAAGTAGTTTCAATCTATGATCATTGAGTACATTTTAATGACAGGTTTGGTTTGCAACTGTTTTTATTTTAGAGAACCATTTCTACCAACTTTATTTTACAGTACCAATAAAATATAGTATCGTAATACGTCTACCAACTAGTTATAATAGTAAGGTCAATATAATCTTTAAAAATTTCATCATGTCAAAAGGGTATTTAAAATTAAATTTTTTTTAAATTCATTGATTAGGGGTTTCAATTTTATTATTACACGTTTTGCTGGTTTCGCAAATGTGTCTGCACAAGAATTTACATTTACAAATAATCAATTTACAGGGAGATGTTTTGACATCTACGACTGTAGACAAAACTTCAGAAAATGTTAAAAATGAGCCTCTTTCAGCCATCAAGGTAAGAAGTTGTACAGTATTTTTGCAATCCGTAATGTGTATTTTAGCAAACATTATTATTATACAGGAACAGGGTTAGGCAGACCACCCGTACACAATGTATAGTGGTCAAACCAATTTAGATAGATCGTTCGTAACAACTTAACCCCCCTATTTCACCCTGTAGAATTTAGGGAAATTATTTTGAAATCTCCCAAACACACGAAAAGGATAGTTTTTGGGGGATGGAGGTAGTTTATGGAAAATTTTCTAATGTCGAGGTAGTTTAAGTGATGCCTCATTTTAAAGGTAGGGTAGTCTATTTGTTCACTGAAAATTTTGATGAACAATTTTTAACTTATCGTGACACTCATTTACAGAGTGTTCTTTTCATTAATTTGGGATGAAATTGTGATCTGTTACATTAATGTAGGCGGTTGCCATAAAATTAACTGTAAGATCCTAAATTTTAGACATTTTTGAACATCCTGTACATGAGCATCAAGATAAGTTAAAATATTTTTTTTATAAAAATGACCAGTGGACAAATTTGAACATTTTCCAAAAACTACCCCCACATCCATTTGTTAGGGGGGATTTCAAAACAATTTCCCTAATTTCTTTGGGGTGAAAATATGGAGGTTTAAGTTGTTACGATCGATCTATCTCGATTAGTTTGGCCGCTTTACATTGTGCACTGGTGGTCTGCCTCACCCTGTAATTCTATACTCAACAGAAATCAGTAGGCCTAGAGTAATAATATTTCAAATTTAAAGATAATAAGTAATTTAGTGTAATATTGTGGGGAGCGAGGTCGGTCTAGTGGTTAGAGCACGGGACTCCGGTTCAAGGGGTTCAAATCCCGCCAAATCACCAATGGATTCTATCTAAGTGATAATGCCAATGCCATAACCCCTAAGTCTAGCCTGAAGTAATGTGAAAAACAATTCTGGGCTCATGCCTAGCGTCCTTGGGAAAAAAAGTAATATTGTTACAATATTGGTAAGATTTCTTCAATTATCATTTTACAAAAACCAACTGTAATTGAATCTTCAAACTAACACATGTAGTTTAAACTTAAGTTCACTGACAAAGTGTGATTTTACTTAGAAATAAGTAGAAGCAAGTATGGTGTACAATTAAACTTAAGTTTCCAAAATGAAATTTAGATGGATAGGATAAGAGTAAAATACTGGAGTTCAGTGGTTTAAAATACCTCAAAGAATTATAATTGTGTGTACAATACCAATAGGAAGATTCAATGTTGCAGAATGGTGTATATCTCTCTGACAGCTCTTGGACTGACGGTGTGCAAAGTTTTCCTGGCCTTCAAAGCTGTGAAACGCTGACTAGTGAACCAGTATCTGTGGACCCTCCACCAGTAAGCTGTACTAGTTTACAAATTATTATGAAACACTAGCAGAGTACCCGTCCTTTGTACGGGGTTGGCGCGTATTTGTACATACTTATTGGCCAGTACAGCTGGCCGTCCAAACGTTGGAACCGAGTTAGTACGGATAGAATTCCGACTGGCTGCGACTGTGTTGAGGTTTCTGAATTTACTTGCACTCGGTATTTGAACTCTTCAACTTGTTCAAATTTATGGTTTAATACTTCAAAAGATACCCTACCATTGTCCCCCCCCAGCCAAAATATACCAACTCAGTCTTTTCATTGTTTATTTCATTTCCTATTTATCTATTAGAATCTCTGTCCTCAGACACTAAACACAACATTATCTACAATTGCCAGTTCTCTTATATAAGTCCCCATTTAATGCTCATACCTAGATTTCTATTTCTTAATGCTTTGTATTGAACTTCCAGTACTTGGATATTGATTCTTTTAGAACAAATATTTGGTCGGTAGTGGATCTTCTTTCTTTGAAATCCAGCCTGATGTTCCTCAATTATTTCTTCTAGATACACTTCTAGCCTATAAGTCTAATAATAAACTAAATACACTTGAGTCCTGCTAATCCGAACCCAGTTAATCCGAACGTTCGCTTAATCCAAACGTGTTCCCGATATTATTTTTCAATAAATTTGCACTATACAAAACACAGTGGGAAAGGTAAAATAAGTTGAAATGAAGTATAAACAAAGTAATCAATTAAGAAATACAATGGTTTGTTTTATTAGTAGAAGATTAAACTAACAAAACGTAATAAAAGACAAATAAAACAAAAATTATTTTGTAAGAAATATTGCACATACTGTACTGAAAAATGAACTTTAGTTATGCCTACTTGTTCTTAGACATGAAACCTCGAATCTTCATTTGTTGTAGTTTTGATTATTGCCGCGTAGTTCCGCCATTTTCTCATGAACATTACATCTGCAGGCGTGGCAGTAGACCGTTGTTCTAAGTAGCAAAGGGCAAGGTCAAATCGTTATCACTACCCTCCCCCTCGTCGCCCTGAACATTATCTTGCGTCACTGTGTCAGTCAGAGTCTCTGCACTACACCATCCATTCATCCACGCCCTCTTCGACCGTGTTTTCTACGACCCAAGTTAACTGGGTCGTTTTCGTTAAGACGTTTCTTCAAAATCTAACGATGTCCATAACTTTTTCCACAATTTTCTTATCGCTCCAGCTGTGACATTTTCCCAAGATCAGGAAACAAGGAAACAAATTGAATAAAATGTAGCCTAATGCTACAAGATTTTTGGTAAATGTTTTTGTTTTGGTTCTTAACATGTACCAAAGAGTAAGAGTAGAGTACATAAAAGTCCATGAAAACTGCACTTTGGCCTATTCACAAATACAAACCTCTCTTTCCTTAACTTAAACTGTTAAAGTAAAATACCAAGCCCAACTTTTACAATATTATAACTTGATAAGCTACTAAAATTGAGATCAAACAATTTAAAACTAAATAAAGTGATCTAATACTTATTTTTCAGGAAGTTAATGTTGTTTTATCTGAAGAACCACATCCAACCTTTGTCAATTTGACAGAGGAAACCAGCCAGGAAGATAAAGCTCTTTTAGATTTGACTCAACAAGAAGGGAAATGCCAAAAGGAATCAAGTAGAATATCAGTAAACTACACAGAAGAGCTTATAGAGAAAAATGTTCCTGACAAGTCAAATTACTTGAATACTGTTTTTCATGTGAATAGTTTCTTTAGTAGGACTGATGGCTTGGCTCTTGGTAATCAAAATGAAAAGGACAATGAGCTTTATAATTTGGATAAAAAAGAGAGTGAAGGTATAGAAAATAATAATAGTTGTACAGAAGAAACAAACATTGATGAAAACTATGAAAATGAAGAAAACAAGGAGGATGAAGAAATTGGTGATGATTGTGATAATGTAGATTCATTTAAGTCTGATGAAACACCTTCAGGGTCAAAAAATGAGAAAATTACCTACTGTGAGCAATGTGACAAACATTTTGAAAAACCTATTAGCTTAAAGAAACATCAGTCAGTGCATCCTAAAGAGTCATTCAATTGTACGTTTTGTAATAAATCTTTCAAACATAGTTGGAATTTTCAGTCCCACATAAGATCACATACAGGAGAGCGTCCATTCGTGTGTTCCATCTGTTCCAAAACTTTTACGGACAAAAGTGCCCTCAACGCTCATACGAGAATAGCTCATTTTACAGAGAAAACTCACAAATGCACATTCTGTGGTAAAGCTTTCAAGCTGAAGAAACAGTTAGATAGACACGAACGAATACATACGGGACATCAATATCACCGATGTGAAATTTGTGGCAAGTTGTTCACTCAGAAAAGTAATCTCATGAAACATTCAGTGCTACACTCAGGAGAAAAACCTTACGTCTGTCCGGTCTGTGAAAAGCCATTTGCTCAAAAGGACAATTTAAACATTCACATCATTCGGCACCACTCGCAGCAGACTCCAGTGATTTGTGATGTATGTGGAAAGGTATTTAAAAACAAGATGACCTTAGTGGGTCACAAAAAAAGCAAACATTCGGAAAACATTAAGCAGATTATTTGTGAAGTTTGTGGAAAGTTCTTCCCAGACAGGAGCTGCCTGAACTCCCATAAATGGGTCCACAACTCTGGGGTGCCGGTGCAGTGTGACATTTGTGGGAAAAGTTACCCTCACGGTAGAGCGCTCAGGGTTCACAAGCGAATCGTGCATGCAGAAGTAAGAAAATACTGCTGCGATGTTTGTGGGATCGGCTTTAAAACCAGTCAGACGTTGAAGCATCACAAAGTGGTCCACACGGGGGAGCGAGCCTTTAGTTGTGAAGAATGTGGACGATCGTTTGGCCAGAAAACTGCTCTGAAGACACATCAACGAATACATTCTGGTGTGGAGCCGTACTCGTGTCCGCGTTGCGGTGAATCTTTCAAGTGGAAACAAACTTGTGACAAACATATTCTCAAGTGTACCGGTAAGCCTCGTCAAGCGGTCATAGACTATCGCATGATTACTGAAGATTATGAATCTGTTGCAAGGTTAAACGACCTTACTCCTGATACATGATTGCCAATCAAATATTTATATCTCCTAAAATGTACACAGCTACCTGAAGACGAACTATTTATATATTGCAGGACAGTATGATTTTTAAAGGCTCTTTAATTTTGATAAGCAAGTTTAAAGGGGGAGTTCATGAAAAAAATTTTTATAACGATATTTTTACATATTTTGGTTCAAGGTTAAATTCCAAATATAAAATTTAAGACCGTACAATTTGTATTAACCTTGGAAAAAATCATTTAAGTCAATAATGCATGGAGATTTTTTCTATCATATAATTCATTGGATCATTTTGTTTTGAGTATTTTGGTAATACAATCTGACTAAAACTTAGTTGTTTCATCCACCTAAAGCCTATTTAATTCATATAGTATAACCTTTATGCTAACATATATTGGTCTCTTATATTGACTGCCTATTTATTTTGGAAGAGCGGGGGCCCAACAGCTGCTTTCAGATAAAGGCCCAACAGCAGACACTGTGGATTCCCAAAATTTGTATCTTTTACCCAAGTACAGTATAGCCCCGCTTCTAGAAGAGATAGAGAGATGATTTTTGGTTTATTTTGTTCAGCTTGTTCAATTCTATGATCTGTAGGATGGGTTTGAAGGAATACATAATAAAACATATTTTTAATACTAATTTTGTTGTTAATTTTCTACAAAAATCCAAATTAAAACATAAAAATTGTATAGAACCATTAATTGTTGTATTCAAACCAAACCCATCCTACCGATCACAGAGCATACTTTAAGAAACACTTGGAAACAAAAAGTTATAAATGATCTTTTATTGGTTTTAATCTGGTAAACCCTTGTAAAAAGTGAAAAATACCCTCTCCACCACAGGGGGTGAAAAAATTCCAACCAATTTTTTTTATTGTATGGTAATATTCAGAAATAGTTTCAATATTTTTGGCTTATAATTAAAGATTTTTTCATGAACTCCTCCCTTAAAAGGCTCTTACAACAATGATATGTTTGTGAAGAATACTGACAATGTTGTATGCACCATTAAAAACTAGGAACTTAAATTTGTACATTTCTCGAATTTCAAATAATCTTTTACACTCTTGACTTTTATACTTTTTACAAACATGATATTTTAAATCATCTTAGTTTCAATTTAATTCTCTGTCCGCGCCTTGACAATAATTGTAATAAGTTGAATGTCACACATATACTAAGAGCCTATCTCTACTCTATATACTATTTGCAATTTATTGTTAACTTTGCCTGAATAAAGTTATTATCTTCTAACATATAATTTCTAATTTAGCTTTAAACGGTATGACTTGGTTGTTTTTTAATACATTATTTTTAATTAATTTTTTCTACTTAATTGCCATGTTTTACTTTTTTGAAAGGGAACGGTCCAAACCCTCTTTTATTAGATATGATTAACTGATAGTCTAAAGACCATGTCATCTGGGTCCAGAGTTCATCTTACTTGGAAGCGAACCAACATCCTTTAGTTTGAAGGTGAGCACTTTAAACTTGGTTGTCATATTTTAAACTTAGTGGACAAAATTTGACTGAATGCGTTGTTTTTGACTGAACAAAATACGGCATAAAACTAGGCAACGACAACCAAAATAAGTTGCATTAGTTAATGGAATTTGTAGTTTTTACAATATTGTAAAAAAATGTAGTGTGGTTTTTAAACTGCTAATTTCAAAATTCTATTCAATAGCTTTAAACAATTACAGTCTAGTATTATTTTGCATCACATTAGTATATTATAGTTTTATCTATGATTCTTTTTTAGATTATTATATAATCAGTATTATATGTGTTAATTATTTTTTACCATGTAGTTTGATAATTTTGTCTTTTTCATGTTACAAATACAGGGTGATTCAAAATCAGATGCATTGACTTAGGAAGCAAACGAGAGACTTTGTCTTTTAATCGTAAGTTCAAAATGTTTTTTTTTGTTACTACTATTATATCTGTTACAATGAAGCTAACTGATAACACACGTTAGTTTATTAGCCTTGAATGATAACTTATTATAATTCTAAACGTTTTGAAATGAACAGATCTCAATGTAAAAAAAAATTGTTATGAAAGATTTAATAAAATCGTTGTGAATCACACTGTAATTTTTATCCATTTCTATTGGTATTATTTGTTGGAATGTATAAAGACATTCATTTTGTTCTTATTTGTAAATGACTCATGTTAGGATCGAGGTTGTTAGTTAAGATTGTTAAGTTATGTTATTTATTTTAGTTTATTCTCTATCAATGGAGAATCACTTCAAAAATCACTTATGTAGTTTGTTCGTTTGTAGATTATGGTTATTGGCTCACTATTGACATTTGATCAAAAAACACTTTCGTCCTTCCCTGTAGCAGCTAACCTAAATACTCACTAAATTTAATGTTATTTAAATCATGCTTATTATTATTATTTATTTAATGTTTTAAATTTGTAAGTTTGTGTGTTTGAAGTTCAATCACACATTTTTGGATGAAGCTCAATCACGCATTAACTACTGGTCGGATTGGGATGAAACTTAGCATTACAATAGCTCATATTCCTGATTAACATATAGGCCTATTCTAATCTCAAAAATCATTTTGGGCTCCGCCCCAGTGGCTCTGGAATTTCCTATGTTAACTTTATGAATATTTATTCATGTTGGTTCTATGATGTTCAATAGCATTAAAAATTTATAACGTTTACCAATAGGGTGCAGCACTATTAATATATATATATATATATATTTTATTCATAACAGCTTAATTTGAACCTTTGAACTAAACAGCAAACAGCTACAAAAAGTTGTGATGATGCACAATGAGAACTGTCAAAGTAGGATTATTTTCAGTTATGTTTTCAATTTCATAAATAATTGTTGACAAGCAAATAGGGCGGTTCTATTTTTTAAGTGCATAATTATTCAACAATGACTTTCTCATTTGAAAGTGTAGTGTTTTTTTTTTTTTTTTTAAAGAGGTTGGCGGCCTCTTTTAACCTTGCATTTGCCCGTCCACATAGACTACAGATCTGTCTCATGGTCAATTATGTGCAAAATACGCAAAATTGAGACATTTTTTCCATGAATAGAGCCAACATACCACAGGCCTAGGACATGGTAATTTTTAATCTTAATACTCTCCTATGGGCTCTGCCTTGACGGCTTCCAAAGTTCCATGCTATTCTTATGAATACACTTAAAGAGTCAGCAGGACCGCCAGCCATCTTGGATTTTCTGCCCATAAGGGCAATGTTAATGGTTGAAGCATATTACAGCATTGTTTATTAAGATAAAAAGCTGCAAAATATCTCATTTTAAAGCTATTGAAACCGTGGATGTGATTTGCTATCCACTTTTTAATTTTAATTTTTATTATTTTTTAAAACTAAATAAATATTATTCTAGAGGATAAATACCTTATTGTTGCCACTGTAATCCTCTATCGTTTGGATGGCAAAAGGTTTCGACACTCATGGTGTCATTGTCAAGCCTTAAAGACGTGTTGTCGCACCTGCAGCCGTGCCGTGAAAATTAGTGTTCTTGTATGGCCATACTGTGTTATTTATTCGTAAATATGTTTGTGCGTGTCTCGTGTATTTGTTTTCAAGACTTTATGACCACCTCCTAGGAGCGACAACACGTCTTTAAGGCTTGACAATGACACCATGGTTGTCGAAACCGGTCGCCATCCAGATGACAGAGGATTACAGTTTCAACAATAGGGTATTTAACCTCTAGAATAATATTGTTAAGTAATCTGAAAGGCAACACCTCAAAGAATACATAAATATATTGACTTAAGCTGTGGTTTTCTCAGCCTCTAAAACACAAGTTTGAAAAATCCGCAAAGCAATCCACACGGAAAATATATTTAAGAATCACGTAACATTTTCTCTTTGGTAATTAAGCTTACGGTGTGTGATTAATATGCATCAACACGTTTTTGAAAAAAGGCCATGCTGCAGCGCAACACTATGTCATAGTGGTGGATAGTTGTACTAAAATCTGACAAACAGCCAGCTTATTTACCTAAACCACATATGGGATATTGCAGTGAACAAATCTATCCACTAGTGTGATGTCTTGGATTCTGCAGCATGGCCTTTTTTCTAGTGGGCCCTTGTGACACTACTGGTTTAAACATTTCCTGTAAAACTCTGGTGTAAACATGACGTTAAATCCATACATGTTATCAAAGTTGTCAAATCCTTTTCGAGCCAACGCAAAGAAGGTGGGTGCTTTCCAATGTAACATAATAATTTATCTTTATTGTGATTGATGACGAATTTAGTTATTTAAATCGTTGGTTAAAATTAAGTTATTTATTGTATTAAATTTGGTATTTTGTATAACATTTTGTTAATGTTTAATATTTTATATGTTCCTTATGCAGATGACAACATTTTCTATCAATTATTTAAAATAGTTTTTATTGCATTGCTCTGAACCATATGTGTATACAGTATTGTAATAAAAAATATATTTTTGCAATATGTGTTTATTTGTTCAAATGATGACTGTACCTACTTCAGCTACTTCATATAGTGTATCGATTCTCAGGGTAGGGTTTGATAGAAAAGTAGAATTTAAACTACTTACTCTGATTTTCTTTCGTACAAAGTGCCACTGACATAAACAAATAAATAGAAGTGTTGAATTAATCTTTACACAGAATATTAATCTTGGGAAATCATTCTAAATAAAGTTCAGGTTAAGTTTTATATTGACTGAGATATATTGATATTAGATTTACTGAGATAGATTGCTTAGAGATGGTTTGGGAAGTGTTACCCATCCCAAAATAACGATTTTATCCAAATACAATAGTGAAAATTTGGTGAGAAATTATCACATATTGTCCTGCATTATAAATATCGCTACTTACATGTTACTGGTCACTAAGAATGAATATCACTTTCTTCACCTATTCACTCCCCTGTAGTGTTGTAAAAGGATTTGAAAAATGCTAATTAATACCTTGCGTAAAATAATTAATAATGGAAGGGCTGAGGCATAAATTACAACACAATGGTATAGATTGTGAGTTCACTCACATTATTTTAATAAGAAATCTAATTAGACATATCATGGCATTAACATTACTATAATACTCTGTCAAGCTAAATATAGTAGCTGTTTTAACACTAAGGATAGTTTCAAGTATTGCACCATGTCCATAAAAGTTCCATTCCCAAAGACAAAATTAAGGACGGTTGAGAGGAAGATTGAAGCTGACATAGAATATTTACATAGAGAAGAAATACGACAGAACCGGCGAGTCTTGGGGAAATTGTTTCGATACACTTGGATTTAGCTTGAAACAAGAATGTTACACATCGAAGGAGCAGGGCCTGAGTAGACAAGTTTTAAGGTTTTCTACAGCAACCATTCTTGGTAGGTTTTGTCAAAAGAAATGGAGCTTTACAATTTTTTATTATTAATCACTTTCACACAATTTCCATGAACAAATTTGTGCTTGTTTACTAGGTACAGATAACAATTGGAAAGAAATACTTTATAACCATGGTTAACTGTGGTTATGAACACTAGATATGAATTAATTACGAATAGAATCTATTTTGATAACTGCTTCATTTTACATTTTCCCTCTCTCCCTTCTTGTTTAAAAGAGGAGGCTTAGGGTCACATGAGTTGAGACATAATCAAATTAGGTCATATATGATGACATATCGGGAAAGATATGTTTTATACTGGTATTAATTTGATGACTGCAGTTCCCAATTTTAAACCTTACATTTTTTTATTGAGACAACTAAAAACTACTGGATTCCAAAAAAAATTTTAAAATTGTCTTTCTTTCACAATAACATCAAAGATAAGACTTTGGCGAAAGCATGTCAAAAACCAATGATTTTGATATTGGCCCTAATGTAGGTCCAAAAAAATGAGGCCCTAATGTAGATTTTGAGCATAAAAATTTTAATTGTAATGTAACTCCCATAACCTAAACCCCTGACAACAATATAGCAGATAACTAATAATGATTGGTGTCAGATCATGATGAGACAAAATCATCATCGAGGTCACCAGCCTTGCACTTAATGGTTGTTTTGAAACCTTGTCTACATTTACTATCAGACTTCAAAGAGCAAGCATTTAGAGAATGAAACCTATAATCTCCAAAATAATCCTTTACACAACTAATTGATTATCCAGAAACTTGGTCATCCTGATTTGTCTTTACTTAATTTATTCTTGTTTAGCTGGTATGTTTGGCAATGCAATATTGTCTATTTTTGAAACTTCTTGGCAATGGAAAGTTTTCCTAAATGGCAAGTTTTGATGTTTATTTAATTAAATAGGCCTACTTGATGACAGTAATGTTTTGAGCAATAGAGAATTTTTTTTGAAGCAATACTAGAAAAACACAGAAAGGGAGAGAGAGGTCTTACCACCTAGATAGTAAAAATAAGTATTAAATAATTCAACAACAACAATTAGAACAGTTTATTTGAACAATAGATACCAGGAAAAGCCAGATTATGGAGCAAAAACAAGTTTTGAACATTTGAATAAAGCGACTCTTGTACATAATCCTTCAACAAACTCTGTATACTGCAACTGAAAGACAAAATAACATTACAAAACAGAAGGAGTCGATAATAGTGCTGTGCACTGTACAATTACCGACATATGTGCACTATACATTCATTCTGTTTACAATAAATTCAACATTTCAATTTATACAACACCGTCCTCTTTGTTTCTGACTAGAACTTAAATCACATCGACGCTTATAAACTCTAACAAATAAATCAACACTCGCAACACACTCTTTCACTCTTAGACGTCGTAGATCCCGTGATATGTGTAGCATCGAGCAAGCATGGTCACTCCATCGAAGCGTTGTGAACACAATATATCGACTAAATCTAACATTGACATAAACGTCCACTGATACTAAGGTTTCCAGTGTATTCTCTTACCACAAGCTATGTCACATAACAGAGGCAGAGTTTGAATATTGACTTGTTCCATTTACGTTTCATGAGCAAAATCAAAGTATACTTCATCACTTGATGTACAAGTAAACTTATTTTTTAAGCAAGGTGATGTTACTCAATTGTTTGGATAGAGAAATCAAATAAGGGCAGACACATTGCAGACAAGACAACAATTTTGACACAAACAGAATAAACATATATAATTAATTCAATCATTAAACTGTCAAAGTGCAGTGGCCAAGTCGAGAAATCTGAGATAAATAAAAGAAACAAATTAGCTTAAATCTTTTCAAACTGTTACATATTTCAATGTAGTTAAGGTGTAAACATGGATCTTTATGGGTACAAAACCACATAACACATTTTTTAAAGGTTTGATTAGACTGAACTATCAGAATTCAGTACTTAAATTTCAAATACAGTTCCAGTTATACTCCGTTTACAAAATTAAGGCAATTTGAGGGGAAGCAATTTCATGCCCTCCACTTCGCCCCAACTATGAAATAACAGCCAGCAAACATTCCCCTTAAACCGCCTTAATATTTTGAACGGACTATAGTATACTCTGTGTTCTAATTACATTCATTGTGTAAAAATCGATAGCAAGTGAAATGCAAATTAATTTTAAGCAGGCTGTTGGAAGAGGTTAAACAATTTTCAAGTCAATCCGTTCCATTTAAGAATATAATTCTTTTCATTTAACTTGCTGCCCTTGAGCCCTTTGTTGTACCTTCAGATCTTTAATTATAAATTAAGCTCCTTTACATATAGTACATTGTGGAATTTAATTTTTGTACCATCCTATAGTTGACAATTATTAATGATACTACTCTTAATTGTGTTTCATACAATTGACATAAATTAAGTTTACTTTTGTTTCATACACTTATGAACATAAACATTGCAATTTCTATTTTATAGCAGAGTAATTAGTTGTTTATTTACATAACCTTAACATGTTGTGTACTAAATAAAAAATGTTGTGTGATAAAAAGTGTAAAAAAACTAAAAAAAATCTTTCAACATTACACTTGAGAAAAAAATTCTATCAACAAAAAGCTCTTTGCAAGCCTAGTAGTGTACAGAAAAATATATCCAAACGGAAAATTTCAACCGAGGCAATTCCTAATACAATACTGATTATTCAAAAATACTTATGGAATGTTATGAAACAGGAAAAGCATGTTTGGTGGAAATTCGTCTCATGAATACTATATGAATTTCTCCAAACACATTTTATTCTTGGAACACGAAAGAAATTATTTGTCTTTGTACATAAATACAAAAAGTAGGGTCTTAACTTGCTCTTGTATATGAAAATCAGTCTTGATGCATTGGTTATGAAAATGGAAAATACCCTTTTGCCCTGTTACCTATTAAAACAAATGAGGAATATAAAACTTAGATCAAAATCTGTTTCCTATTTTTGTGCTTCTCTAACACTCAACATCTTTCACTTTTTCAAGAACAAGCTCGTGTTGTTTTTATATTACAAACGACATCAAGATTTGAACAAATCGTTAATTAATCCAAGCTTTTTTTTTATATTTCCTTAAGTAATAAACTAATGAATGCAAAACATTGTTTGAGAAATTACTTTTCATTATGAATTATAAATACCCCCGCCGCAGCAAACCTGCAGACTAAGCGAATTTCCATTTGCTTGATTGGATTTAAACGAAAATTTTCAATGTTTCTTGTGTCATTTATCATAAGGCTATCAAGAAATCTTCAAGAATAATATATAAATAAATATATATATATTTATATATAAATAAATATATATGAATTTGAACGGATGGTGTTTTTAGCCTCTAGGGACCTCAAAACAAAGAAGAAAAATTTGGTCCTGCGTCCAGGTCTTACCATGAGTACTACGGTAATAGCTTATTCGCTATATGGGAAATTCGCTAAAACAATCAAACTAAAGAAAACATTGATTTTTATTCCGATTTTAATTGATTTTTGAAACCAACAAGAAAAGCTTGAATAATTTATAAGTACAACAATTGTTTAAGTTTAACAAATTTTCAATAAAGGTTTGGTGGGTATACAGTTAATAATACGTAATAAACCTGAAACTAATAAATTGAGCAGAAATAAAGCACACAAGTACTTAATTAAGAGAATAAATTAATTCCTATTCTAGAGGTCAAAACAAAAAATAGCAATCTCATTTATAACGTATTATTTTGTATAGGCATTTTCTTATACAGTAGCCTATTGATAATCAGTATTTTAATAAAAACTCAGAGAAATACTTATATGGGAGCAAAGATTTGCTGATAATTTTTATAATATAATCAAATTTAAATGGGTATAAATTGGTTATAGTTAAATGTCAATAAGTATGAGTACCGTAACTTTTGATTAATTATTGTGGAAGTTGTTTATTTATTGAAGTTGTTGTAACATTTATTTTACCAGATGGAAGTATATAATACTTCAACTTGATATATTTTGCTAGCTTGAATTCAATGTAAAATAATAAGAAAAACATACTTATGTGTCATAGCATAAGTATCTGTTAAGTAAAGTGGGACAAAATTTGTATGAATTAGTAAATTACTTTACCTCTCAAAAACACAAGCAGTCACAAAGATTTAGCAAGCGAAAATTTAACAAGTTATTGTCTTTGATAGCGCATGTATGATTATTTTATAACTTGGTTACATACAATAACGAGACTCATTAACTTTGCGAAAGCACTAGAAGGTAATTGACATAGTTCGAGGTATAATTTGTAATAGTTATTAATAGTATAATTTGTATAGTTGGGATTTTTGACCACAATAAACTATTGTACACTTAGGTTTTTGTTAAGGTTTTGAAAATTCATTTCACAATTTATATGTTGATTTATTTGATTAGACATGTATATTTGCATTTTTGAGAGGCTAACATAATATCATTATATAGTATAGCTATTTCAAAGTGAATATACTATCAACAAATGATAACTGTATAACGTAAGTAGCCCAATTTTCACCGACAGGTGGTCTATTTATTGCTATCATTCTTAAATTGTTCTAATTATCACAATACCTACCTATATTCATTCAATCTTTATACACTAGAGCCCCTGTTTGCTTTGAGATCTGCACTTTATACACAACTTTGTGCCCGATTTCATTCTTAAAAAAATTGTTTTTAACAAAACCGACACTAAATTTTTACATATAGAACAAACAGAGGTTATTCAGATTATGTACAGGTTAGAAAACAATATGTTCAGATATTGAAGTTAGAAATTTGAAAAACCGTTACATTCAAATCAATAAGGTAAAATGTTTTTAAGATAAATAAGTATGGCAGTGAAGATTTCTTTTCCGCGTCCGATTCTTACTTCTGACTCATGACGTCGTTTTCAACTTCATCATCGCTAGCCTCTTCGTCTGCTTCTACCCCTCTTTCCCCGACTTCTTTCCTAGAATCTTCTTCGGTTCCGGTCGATGAACTCGGCGTCTCCACAGAAAGCTCTTCTGTCTCGGCAGTCGAGCCCTCTGGAATCTCCTCTTGGAAATTATTTTTTCCATTAACGAAGCCTGGGCTCACCTTTGGAGAGGACTTGTCTGAATCGTAGGCTCCCCCCATTCCCGGCGACTGTGGTGACTTCTCAACCGATAAATTGTGAGGAAAATTATTGGAGTTAGAGAAAATTTGGCGGTTGTGGTTGCGACTGGGTACGGCGGGAGGGGTAGAGACTCCGTTCTGGCCGTTGTGTTGGGGCTGGTACACCCTTGGAGGGGGGGTTCGTTTCACCGAACCATCACTAGTTGGCTCCTCAGTATCGTCCGGGGAGGACTCACTGGTCGGGGAAGCTACGACGACTGGCGTACATCGGGCTGGAACTGACAAAACAGTCTGTACAGATACTTGGTTGATTGTTAATACATATACTCTAGTCAAATATGGTATGTCTTTAACAGTTAATAAATGAAAAAGTAGATTATTGGTTCTAGGACTGCTAAAGGATTGTATGTATGACAACTTGGTTTTTGTAAAGTGTGGAACTAGTTGTAGGTTTGTTTAATTTATTCTTATAATGTCAGTGGCATTTCATAAGGTTTTATCTTTTGTAAATAAGAGTTCAAAACTAAAAAAAATATAAAAAAATGGAGTCTAAAACAGAGTCTCAAAAGAACTTGAGAAAAGGAAGACCAAAAATCACTGAGAGTAAGTCTGTTGAAAAAGCAAGAGTTGGGGAGAGGTGAAACAAGTTTATTCGGAAACATGTGAGGTGTATGACATTTGTTGCAGCTCTATGTTCTCCCAGGAATAAAGGTTGGTAAAGTAACCAAAGATAGTGCAAACTACAACACCAGTGTTACCTGCAGGAGGAGGCTTGCGGATCCCCTTGGAGGGAGTGGGAACGACGCCACCCTTCAGAGGGGAGAACCCGGGAGGTTTGACTGGCAGAGGGGGCGGCAGTGGCAGTGGCGAGGCCTTGGGGGGGCGGAGCGGAGGGGCTGGTGTAGCGGTCAATAGCTCGCGGACTGCCTGTGAAAATTTGACCTGATGAACACTGTCATAACCACATAGTCTAACTAACCCAAGTCACAATATGTACAGCTAAGTATAACGATTTATGGCTAGTGAAAAAATACTAAAAGCAGGCTTCCATCTATTAAGTGGACTAGGTGAACCCGCAAGAATTCGCACGAATAATAAATCAGGATATTATAGCATCGTCGTTAGAAGTTGCGTTGTTGTATCGACGTTGGTCTTGAGCTCGATCGTTGGCTATATGCATTCTAAGTTCTTTTTGCTGGTCAGTAGGAGTATTTTGCAGGATGGAGCTCATCATGCTGAAAACTTGCGCGTAATATCAACCAAATGTTGTGTCAAAATCTGCAGCAGTTCATAGCGCTGCAAAACAGCCATTAGCTTTGTTTAGCATTCTTTCTTGAACAGCGGTTTCGACGTCGTAGATATAAATTTGGGCATATGTGGAATGCTCCCCTTCTGACGGTTGAAAGGTGCCAATTGAGTGATAAATTGTGTCGTGCGCCTTATACATGAAAGGCCCTCCACCGTTATGTTCTTCTATTTTAGCTAGAGTGCTGACTTTTGTGAGCGCAGAGTTGTACGATCTAAAGTTCTCTTTGTAGTTTCTGCTCAAATGATTTGCTCCATTAAGTAGGTTCTGGATATAATAACTTTCTCGGTATGGTGGTAGATTCACTTTTCCTTTATGGCAGCAGGATGAAAATCCTTCGCCTCGTCCTCTTTGTTTTCTTTTAAAATGTAGCGCACCACATTTCTGACATTTTAATGCCATCTCGCCAAGTGCGTGCGGCTGAATTCTCGTATTTGTCAGTGTAATTTTGTAAGTATACGTTGCCACTGTTCCAGCTCATCGTCTGGGCTCCTTACGTTTTGCATTGCTTGCCGTAAGTTGACTCGCCGTGTCCGACCGGCAAAATTTCTTTGTCGTCGGGTCCTTGGCATGTTTAAACGAAAATAAAATGTAAAACTTTTCTCCCGTCGTGTCCTATAGGTAACATTTCTTTGCCAGGTTTCTAATTATTAAAAAAAAAACATGCAAACTGTTTACATTTCAAAACCAAACAAAACAGCTGGGATTTTTTTAAAACATATAATTGACATCTGTTTCAGAATATAATAACATTCAAATCAATCACAATGTTATCCTTATGGAAGGAACTTTGAGGGCAGCCCAAGCCCTTAAAAAGATATATTTTTAAAATCTAAAGCCAGTTTGCACATCTACACACCTAGACGAACATTTTGGTTAGGGATGGTCAAGTCTCAAAATTTTGGGAAATTTCCGGGAAATTTTAAATCTCGTTACACGAGACGAGATTTCTTTTTGGCCGAGATTTTTATCGAGACGAGAATAAAAAACAAATAAAAAAAAAAAAATTAAAAACGCCTGCAGAAAGTTAATGCAATACCCGCAATACAGGAGCGTGTTGTAGTTGCGTTTCCTTTGCGAAGGCGTTCTTATTTAATTAATTCTTCAAATGTAAATATTACTTTAATTATTTTAATAACATTTGAGAAGTCTTGTTAAGAGTTAGCAGTGTGAGGAATGTTTAATTAAAAAAGTCAAAACAAGTAACTATTTTATAAAAATTAGTATTTTATTTTATGATTTATTTTATTTTAGGATAAGTTGAACTCTATCCTAACTGATATCACTATGTTTCCTAATCGTACGCATTTTTAATAAATTAGGCGTGATTAATAAAAAAATGTAATGCTGATGTTTTTTTAAAAAAAGATTGTAATTATTCTTGCCTATTATCATTATTTTTGTATTTAAACAGTCATCTAACAATGTTACAAAATCAGGTAAAAATTCCGAACGTGCATTTCTCGTTGTGTATGAGAAGGGAAATCCCGTCTCGATCTCGTCTCGAAATTTTATGAGAAATAAAAAATCTCGTCTCGTCTCGTCTCGAACTAAAAATCCAATCTCGTCCATCCCTAATTTTGGTATATAATATGTGGGGTTAAATCTTAAAACAAAAAAGCCTTATTGTTCACAAAGTTTCATGTCCCGTATTAAATATATAGATAACTACTGTAATGGTCAAATTGTATTAGGGGGGTTAGTTTTAATTATTTTAAGGCCGCGAAGGTTTGAGCGCGCTCGACAAAAATATCAAACATGTCCACGGCAAGTCAAGCCTCCTAGTTCGTGACTTGGCCGCTGCGACCTCGGAGCGCTGACGTAGACGTGGTGGGGAGAAGCCGAGACCAGCGGACAGTGGACATTTCTTGAGACAGTCGACGGCAAGCGCATGTTCGCTACACACCCTCTCCTGAGATATATAGCGGACCTGCGGCGAGGATAAGTCGTGGATGCGATACGCAACGAGCGCAAAAATAAAGGCGATAATATTAAGCGAAATAAGTATTGACAGGCGTAAGTACTGCATTGTATCCTTACATTATTAGTATTATTTTCCCGTTTTACTTTGGCGAGTAGAAGTTAATATTCTTTACGATCACCTTAGTTGTAAGAGATTAGCGTATTGTATTTCTCAGGCCGGCACTGCGAGTGCAGTGCCACAGTAGCCTACACTTTTTAGTTTATTTATCTAAATTGGTTTTATTTTATTTTATCCAAAAGTATTTAATTTTATTATTTTGTTATTGCGTGTGACGACATAGTATTTCACTACGAGAGTATTGTTTTTATTTGAGGAGCGATACCTTTTGTTAGGCCTAGAAGCTGGTCACGTATTTTAGTTCACATAGAAGTATCGTATTTAGTGCCGATATATTCCTAGTCAGTGCGTCGTTGTGCTGACATACAACCATAGTATACTCGTGCGTGTAGGACGACAAAGGTACCATCTACGAAGATCGAGAAGCGGTTAGCGAGCGACGGAGACTGTTAGCGAGAACCCTGGACTACTCAAGCTGTCCGAGCAAATCGGAGGTAAGTTTAGGATAGGTTGACCCTACTCGAAATAAACACCTCACACTACTAACAGAGGGAATGATTTTTTTTTAATACAGCTGAAACATTCCTTTTAAAAACAATCTAGACATCAACTAAGCTCTATAAAATCTGCATAATTTCAAGAACAGCTGACTCACAAATAAAAAACTCACATTAACAGCAGTGTTTACATTACCTGACTTGACAGGCCAGATTTCGAGGAGGTAGCGGAGAGCGTTGATTGGCTGATTGAAGTCGAGAGGTTTGTCCGGGCCTTCGCTCTGCAGCATGAACACAGGACCGAAACAAGCAGCGAGGTTCTGAGGAGACATCTTGTTGTGCTCAGACTGTGACACTACCAGTGCCAAATGGTCCATCAGGTAAATAAGTGTGGCCTGGAAAAACACGTACATGAGGAGACAACCAAATTACAAAATATAAAATCCATATTATTTCCTAAGCAGGTCATAATATAGAATCAGCTATATACCTTGTTAAATAAGCAATCAAAATAAAATATTTTCATGTCCCTACAGAGGCTAAAAATATGTACTGGTAGGATTGTTTTGGCGTCACATAAGTGGTATTTCCGAAAAATACCTTTTTATCATTGCCCTGCGAATGTTATCCCCCTCGTCAGCCTTTTAGGGAAGTGGTGCAAGTCTAAAAATATCTTCAAGGTCTAAATAGAGCACCCACCCCTTCCCACTGCCCACTCGAATCACGGTGACCCGCGCTCCTTTCGAGCTCATTGCCCAACCCCTTCTATTGTTTTGCCTTTCCAGTGTTTCTGTTCCAACTTTTTTAAACATTAAATATAGATGGGTATCTACCCGATGTTTCGGGTATCCGCACACCTCTAAAACCAAGCTGTTTGAAAATAAATTTTGACGTGTGTAAATTGTTTAAAATTTTTCAAAAATTTTTTTTTTCAAAAAATCGAACCGACACATAACTAATATGTTTCAAGTGCGATTAGACATATTTTTTTTATTTTGGTAAGTAAAACTCCTCATATTAAAAAAAAGAAAAAAAGAAAAACGTTGGTTTTGCTATCCCGTTGTTCCGGGGATTGAAATACGCTAATCCCAGGATCCTGAGATTCGGAATTGCGGAATTGATATCCCTATGTGTATTTTGTAAATTCTAGAATGGTTGATCAAAATGATCTGGGGTCACCACACAAATTTATCACTACAGTACATTTTTATACTATAATAGTTCATCTCTGTCTTTGCTATTTTTATTGTTATGTTCCATACATAAGCCTTTGAGGGCGATGTTGACAAGGAAAACCAAAGTTAAAAGAGGAGTTTCAAGGTAAAATGGAATCCAGAACTACGGCTTTTTACATACCCTGTTAATCCTAGGAAGGCAGTCTAATATGGAAAACATGAGTTTGGCGTTGCCTTCAGGGTCGTCTGGCAGACAGACAGACAATGCGTCGATCATCATTTGGTAAAGACACTTTGTGAACAAAGGCTCCGGTAGCTCTCGTAGATAGTCCTTCAGTACCCCTGCAAAAACATTGTAATGGATGAAATAAGAAAATAATACATCAATTGGAAATGTACCCTGCTGTATTTGTATTGTAACTGTTGTATTTTTGCCCCGTTGGGATAATGCTGCCATGTTATCCTCAGGTAGTATCTTATGTTATTGTTTTCAGTCAAACCTACCTGTGATAACATTAATGTCAGGAACATTGTCAGGAGATAGGTCGACAGTTCTCGCATTCCTCTCAAAGGCTTCTCTCAATATCCTCTTCTTGGTGGCTGACCCACATAACCGGTACAGACCTACAAAATAATTACTGTCATTAGCCTATTCGATAAATAAGGCCTGAAAATACTCCCAACATCAATAAACAGTAAACACCAACTGTAACATTATAAAAAAAAAAAAAAAAAAACATCAACAAAACAGAAATGTGTTTTTCAAATAAGAAGTATACACGCCTGTCACAAAAAACACAATTTCTGCCCAATAATTTATGTGACCATGGCACACTTCACCATTATCGGGTAAACTGTATAACTGCATACATCTATTCTGTGTTTGTTTTGTGGTTTTATCTATCACATCAACAGTTCAATCAGGAAAGGTCATTGATGTTTGACCAGTTATGTTGATCTAAAGATAATATAACGTCACTAAACCCACAGTCCACTAATTTTAAGTCAAGTTTATTTTTTGGCATTGGTCCAAACAGACATACCTATGATGTCCAGTCCTCTCCTCTCAATCTCCTCCACACAACGTCTCACTATGATGGGTACCAAGGTGTTGGTGCCAGTTGCCAAGGTGACAGAGGTAGCCACGCCTCCCGGCACGCCACCGGTCAAGTTCTCTCTGTTGACAACTGTCTCTAGCTCGGTGCCGAATATACCTGCAAACACAACATTTCAGATTCTATCTGGTGTGTTTGTTGAAATATGAAGTTTAAACCAACAGCTGTTAGTGTGTGGTATGGTATCTGTTAAGTGTAAAAAAATGGGCCTCTTTACTTCAATTACACACAAATTGTTTTTTTAAATTTCTCTATGAAATAATTTGGAAAACAATCAATAACATGAAAATGCACTGAGTTTACTCATGTTATGGTGTAAGTAGATTTAAAGAAAAAAAACAGTAATGTTTGAATGAATTGATTGATGATTTCATGACAAAGCATATTGCCTGACGTAAAACCATTTCAGGAGAACATTGATCCATTGATGATTTTGACATCAAAAATCCAGATCGTTAATAATCTAGTTGCTGTCTCTAGCAACTAGCAAAAAATGAAATTCTATGCTGTCTTTTAAAACAGACTAAGAACTTAACTGCAAAAAAACGAACCACCAACACATTCCAAAAGCCTATCACATATTTTTCAAAGCTCAAAAGTATGTAATGTCTGATGCTTTTACTGTACACTGTACACATGTTACTATAAATGAAATATGATGTAGTGCTTGAAGCAAAAAACTTGATTTGATACATCTGAAAAGCTAAGAGATGAGTCAACTAAAGATTGCAGCTCACAGTCCCGGGTTCAAATGCTTATCCTGAAAAAATGTGTAAAACGATTCCATGCTAGAGTCGTAGGATGTGAAGGTGAGACGTGACAAAAATTGTAGTTGAATAAATAAATGATTGACTGACCAGAGACGAGTGACTTAGAGACGCCAGACCGTGAGGGCAGTAACAGCTGTTTACTTCTCCTGAGGAACGTGTGATGCGGGTCTGTGTGTCTGAGCCGAAGGTACAGTGTGCCTCGAGGCTCTATCTTGAGTGCCAGCTGGTGTATGGGTGAATCTCTCAGTAGAGTCGCCAAATGTACCGAGCCCTGCGACAGGATGGAGTTATCATACCACAATTAATAATTTAATGTAAACATTACTTTGATTAGATAAACTTAAAATAGTGTTTATTTTACATCTGTACATGTGTATTCAAATTTGGTTAGATAGCCTAAATAAAGAAAAGAAACAACTGATATACGAATAATGGTTAGGAATGTACACTCTTGTGTTTGAAAAGATTCCGTTTGAGATTGTAAACTCTATGTTGTTAGACCAATAACTTTTAGTTCGTTAAAAAAATCAAAACCTTGGAAAATTTCAAATGTTTTTCTTTTACAATAATATGACACTCAGGTTTTTGTAATGGTGCATGACACTCAAAGAAATAGTGAAATGAATCTGTAGAAAATCAATGTTACCAGTGAATATAGAACTAACTAGTAACTATGCAGCTGTTAAGGATTTTTTGATGGGATGCAGGCTTAAACCTGATTGTAAAAGAGTCCTTATGACATAAAACACTCATAAAATTTGAATATTTCGCTTTACCGTCATAATTTTTAGTCAAAAAGGTTTAAATAAAAATAATGTGAGTGACAGTGAAAATAAATATTCCAAATATTGTGTACAGGATCAAGCTTTAGTGTTTCTTGTGCCACTCAGGTTTAACCCTTCAATCAAAATAAAAACACTCACAACCTGGGCTTAAACTATATTGTTTGGCTGAATGCAGTAAGAATTATGAGTATTGATAGCTGGAAATAGACCAAAGTGCAAACAAATTCAGCTAATAAAAAAACTAGTAATAAACACATTTTTTACCAACCTTATAACATAATTTGTGCCTGTATTGTGGATCCCATGAGTATATTAACAGATCCAATTCCCTGTTGGACACTAAGTCCAGTTCAAATGTCTCGTCCCAGTCAAACACCAAATCACCTGTCCTGACCACAGTCCTGGCCTTGTGTACTCTGTCACACTCCAGCACACAGTACAAGTCTCTCATGCCACCTGTACAATCAGTAACAAGTCATTACACTCATAGCTCTGAATACAGGGAAGAACACAGTAGAGAATAAATTGGTTCCTTGGAAGTAGAGTCCCACTATTTTGAAAATCCACCTATTCCAAAATAAAGTTCAGAAAATCTTTTAAAAACGTTAGTAGAAAGCTCACTATGTCACCGCAAACAAAATGTTATAGTTGAAGTTAAAACTAGCAAGGTTGTGCAGAAAAGCTTGCAATGTCACCCCAAACATCGTAGCAGCAAGTAATATTGCCATCACAAACTTGGCCAACGCCAAAGTTATGCTGTGAACGCAAGTAATGATGTCCATCAGTATGAGTTGTACAGGACTGACCTGATGATGATGTGACAGAGGACCTAAGTCCGCGGCCAGCCAGCAGATGTATCCACAACAGTCCACTGACACCAGCCACCTCACTGTTGAGTACTCCGGCTGGCTTGTCCATCTTGTACTTTAGGAACTCTGTAGACACAACACTATATTAGCCTAATGGTCGTTACACTTATACACAATATGGTGTTTTTAATTTAATTTTTTTTTTTTACGCCAGTGGCATTTTACAAGGGGTCACAAAAGAATAAATGTTTAGTGGATGTGCCGGGTTGAACCCGTCCCTCCCACACCGAAGTCCGAGACGCTAACCACTAACTAGGCTAGCAACACAAATAATAATATAATATAATAAAACAGCTTAAATGCTACAAGTGTTTCCATATCTACTATTTATGTCAAAGCAATTAAAACTCCTTTGTTTAAATATAAATGAACATAAGTCGGAGACTAAGAGAGCTCATTAAAAACGAATTTATGAAGTGATCCGATCAATAATTTTCAAAACAGACCAGAACTTTTCTGTCTTCAAAATCAATAAACAAGTTTTTTAACAGGAGTTTTTTACATTCGGCATATCATCAATCCATAAGAACCAAATTACGGTTTCTCTTCCTAGACATAATTAATCCTGCAAGATTTTTCAGATAATTTAAAATTCTAACCTTCCTACCATTTAAATCTAAAAAAACTATCTTTCATTGAGAAAAATGTTATTTTTTTAATCTGCTATAAACTTTGGATTTTTGCTATGAAATACATTACAAATACTCATTCCTCGTCATTCCACTTATTTATGCCACAGAAACATCCACGACAATTCCTGCTAACCAACCTGCAGAGTTATTCTTTTCATGATAATCTATAAACTACTTATAATTTAGAGGGGGACATATATTTGGATGGTCAGTTGGTCCCAGAGATCTGCTAACTAACCTGCAGGATTAATCTCCAGTACCCTTGCTCGATCGTCTTGAGCCTTGCGCTCTCCGAGGTGTTTGGCCTCCAGTTCCAGCAGGTGCCTCATGCGTCTGAGCGAGGTCGAGCGCTGGGACAGTGTGTGTCGGTCCAGTGTAGACGTGCCTGTAGGTGTGATGGGACCCATCGTTGCCAGCTGACCCGGCCTGTACGACGAGTACAGCAGCTCTGACTGTAACAACATGACAATTAAGTCACAGTACAGTTTATTCAAAACAATTTTTTGGATTTAATTTCTACATTGCAACACACTAGGGTGTTTTATATTCAGCATTGCCTCCTGGATTGATTTATGGCAAATGAAATAGATTTACATTACTCTTTACGTCATCAAACTTTATTGTAGTCTCAGACTAGGTTCGAAACAATTGCTGTTAAATCGAAACAATTTAATATATTTGTTCTTTTTGTGTGTCCTAAATGTAAAACTTATGTATATTGACGACGACATGTGTTTAAATAATTTGGTGTTTGACAACAAAGGCTTGATAATGAAACTACAATTGTGTGGGAACTAGACACCTGATACTACAATAAGGATTGATGACGTAAGGTATGTAAACCTATTTTATTTGACACTAGGGCACATTTTTTAAGGTGAAGCTAAGTGGAGTAAATAGAATATGGCTTCAAACTAGATGAGTGTTAAATGCATGAGATGATAGCTTTGTTACAAAAAATATGAGTTCTTTAGTTAGGAAAACCACTCATGGTTGTTAGGACCATTTATGTACACTAGGGAGTAGGGGTCTCAAGGGTCCACAATTTTTTGAAGTTGGATCGAGTCAACAGTTGGCCAGAAATTTTTTTTGACAAGCTTAGATTCTATTTATGTGATCACAGAGAGTATCTGTGAATATGCAAAATGGAGAACTACCAATTTGACAAAATTGCACGTGATGTTTACTGTTTTAATTGTAGGAGAGGTTGATGATATTACAGTGATCGTGGAAACACGTTCTTGATTTCTCTGTGATCTTGAAAGATGTTCATGATTTCGCTGTGACCACAGAAGATGATCACAATCTTTCTGTGACCCAGATGTTCAAAATTTCTCTAGGACTGCAGAAAATATTTACAATTCCCCAGCAATATGGGGATGATCATACTCAATATTGTAAAAACGATTGTAGTATTTAATTTTTTTACAGAAGACAAAAACATTTATAGTTATAGAAGTCACTAAAAGTTTCCTTCTGAGGACTTTATTTTCAGAGACAAGGATGAAACAGTCTGTTCATATCACATTAGCAAACTGGAGTTGGTAAAATGATGAAGATGGCGTGTCCTAAATCAAGATCAGTAAACCCTCAGTTTATATTTTCACGATTTTTCTGTTTGTTGATAAAAATAAAATCCAAACAAACAACATAATATACAGACCTGTCGGGTCCTCTCAGGCAGGTTCTCGGCGCTGAATGTGAATCGCTGGCCCTTCTGTCGCAGCACACTGGCGCTGGTTATGTTGTCTCGCGCTCGTATCCTCTCGTAGATGGCACTGGTGCTTGGCGCTCGTGACAACCAAGCGCGGTACTCGTCTGCTGTGAACACACCGGATGAGAGACCTACACACAACACATACTCTAGCGACCCCAGCGCTCCGTCTCTCTGTTAGTGGTCTGGTCTACGCGTGCAGCACATTCAACTATGGACAAACAGCTACACAAAGTATACAGTAAAGGGTTTTAAAAAACATTATGCATACCCATGATGATGAGGTGGAAATACTACATGTTTAGGCCTACTAAAGGGATAAAAAAAACTTTAAGTACACCTTTTTACTAGACAAATTATTATTCTCATTTCTCTAAAAAATATCAGTGTTGTATTTTCTTCTTTTTATAGTTCAATCAATGTCGTTAAGTTTAAGTTGGACAAGCTATATATTTTGTACATTTACGCATGATGGACTAAATGAAAGGAGCAGCCAATCGGTTTGCAAAGTGGATATTGGTACGGATGAGGTAGGGGACCGAAGGCATTCGATGGTTCTATTGCTTTGTACTATCCAACATTCAACTACAAAAACACACTTTCTAATACTACTTAATACTTAATAGGTTCACTACAAACTGTGTTAACATACCGATGCACCAGGGGTTACATCTAGTAGAGTGGATAGTCAATGAAATAGGCTACCAATGATTTCTAAGAAAACAGTCAAAGTTGTTGCATTTATACTTTGTCATTATAGAATGATTGTAAGAAATAAATACCATTATTGTATTTCTTAACTCAGCATAAAATTTATAATTTTTTGCTACTATAGTTGGGGATCATATACTCGTATGAAAACAAAAACTTTGGGGAGCTCGTTCCACAATTAAGAATATAAAATGTGAGGAAAACAATAGATTAGAAAAGATTTGCTAGCAACACCTTGTGAGAAAGAATAAAGTTTTTCTGTTACAACAAAGATAAACTCATAATTGATATCTCTAATGTAAAACAACAGGGGAGCGAGCTGGTCTAGTGGCAGAGCTCGAGGCTCGAAGCCTGAGGTCCCTGGTCCAAGTCCTGCCAATCACGAATGGATTTTACCTATATGATAATGTCACCACCCTCTAGGACTAGGCTGAAGTAATATGTGAGAGTTCCAGGCTAGAACCTAGCGTCCTAGGATGTGAAGGTGGGGCTGTTGAGTATGCATATTTTCATAAATTACAAACCAACATTACTCCAGCTAACACTAAACACAATATAACACAGAGGTGGTAGTGTCTACACGAACGTACCTCGTTCTTTTCTCCTGGCGATGGGCAACTCAGGGGCAGACAAGGCTCCATCACTGTCATCTTGGTCCAGCAGTGACCTTGAGTCCCTCTCAAACCTGACTCCACTGGACTGCCGGGAACTGAACATAACATTACCATGTTACAAGGGCTGGCTAGACCATAATTCTATAAGGTATCAAACAAAATTTATCATAAGTTTGTTTAGTATCTAAATCAGTATACAAAGTTATTTTGTGAGGCTACTACTTGTACCATTTATTGTGACGTCATGAATACGACGCATCCTCTGCACTTTGGACACGTCCTACTTTGTTAAATTTTCATTACTTAAAAAGATAAAGACAAAATTCTAAAGACTCTTTAGCCACATTTTAATAATCAACCTACAAATTTAAACTTTTATTACACTGTGTGTGGTATGCTTTTTGATCCATAGCAAAGTAATAAGCTGTGGCAATCTTAACAAGTGTGTGCAGAAAATATATCTTTAAAAATCCAAAGAAGATTAAAACATTGTAAAAATAGCATACACTTTTAATATCTCATCAGACAATAGGTGTAAAATAAAAATACAATAAAATCAATTATTTTCAAAAAGTGTAATATTTTTAAACTGAAAAAGTTGATTAAAAACCTTAAGATTTGTTGGGTTAAAAGAAAAACCCCTCTTTCTATGATCAGATTGAAGTAGATGTTGGTTTGATTCAAATTTCATCAATATTGGATAGCTTTTACAAGAGTTATCGTGTCACCCGTCACTTGACATTCAGGAAATCATCGAAAACAATGATATCACTGAGACGATTTTGCCGTAACCTCAAAAACTTTCACGATTCCAACATGACTGTGGAAGATGGTCAAAATTTTGAAGTGACCACGGAAGCAGTTCAAAATTTTGTCATGTCTACTAAAGATGTTCTAGATTTTGCTGTTATTGCGGAAGACATAGATTTCACCATGACCACTGAAGAAGTTCTCGTATCAATGTGGTTTGGCTTTTCTCGATTAGCTATGAATCATGCGTTTTCCTCAAACCTAGGCTCAAATGACGTGACTGTTACCTGACAGTGTGTTGAGCTAGTGAAGGTATCTGATGATGACTCCTAGATCCTCTACTGTCCCTTGGTAGAGAGTTGGACCTCAGGCTGATGCCCCGTGGTGTTGCTACGGGGTTGGTAATACTGTTTGGTGTGGCAGAACTCATGTGCGACAATGTTGACACTCCTGCAACACACTTGACTTACTGCCTGTCCAAGGATAGGTTGTTCTCCAGCTGTTTGAGATATTAAGACTCGCTTATATTAATTCAGCATTGCCTCCAGGATTGATTAAAGACAATATAAAATAGGTTTACGCACCTTACGTCGTCAATCCTAGTATAGTTTCAGAAACTGATGTTTCATTTTAAAGCCTTGTCGTCTAACATAAAATTATTTAAACATGATGTTGTCGTCAAAATACACAGATATAACGTTTAATAACGAAAAATGTGAATAACAAGCACGGCGGAAACGACTCAGCTACCGACTGCCGCTGGTCTGGTGACATTGACCTTGGAGGGGGTGAGACAGCTGATTATGAGCGCCTTTGTTATCAATGTCCTTGATCCTGTCAAATACTATGTTGCAACCAAAATTTAACTTTTCATTTAAGACGTGTTTTAACTGGTGTTTACCTGATAAATGAAAACCACGTCAATAGCTGTAGTGATAGCCTAGATATTTTACATAAATGCACCAAAGGCTCCTTAATGAACAACAAGGCTTGAAAATGTAACGTCAGTTTCAAAACTAGTCACCTGAGAATACTAGGATTGACGACGTAAGGTAAACCTATTTTATATTATATTTCATTTCATGTAATAGGCCTATGTCTTCTTTGTTTGAAATTAATTATTGTTCATGGTGAATTTATAAGAATATTGGAAACATTAGCAAGACAAAAAAGTCCACAATTTTTTTTAAGCTATCATAATTTGTTTATCTTTTTGTTCTTTTAGAAGAACTCTCAACTGCCTGTTACCTACTGGCCATTCAAACTAGCTACCATGTCCGTATTTAGATGGAAAATTTCCATAAGAACTATATAGGCAGGACACACTGTAGGGTAAAAATCTTCCACGACTAAGCATTTATATTTTCTCAATGGACTACATTTTAAAGATACAGTTGAAAATTCTCAACTCCTATTTCCCACATTACAAAATAAAAGGTCTGAATCAGGATGATTGGAGTAAAGTATGTAATGTACACACCCTTAAAGGACATTATTATTAATGTCAAACTAAAATTTGTTATCAAACTTTGGGGTTTAGTTTCAAGTAAGAAATTCTATTATAATTTTCGGTGGGTTTCCACACATTTTTGGCTGTTTTGTATCCAGGACTCATCAGTTACGACACATACTTAATCGTCATATGTATTATTAAAAAAAGGAGAGTGAAGCCCCCAAAAAAGTAACCAATAAGTTATACCTTATCTAAACGCATGTAATTTTAACTAAGAAATTCTAGTTACAACACTGCAGCTATCATGCTGTTAAGCTTTACCTATGTCTTATTAATAGTCTTTTAAATAAAATATCTGTGTAGGATTTACCAGTGTTCCGACTACCTGTAGCAGAAGGCCGGTCTCTGTAGTAATAGTAGGAGCTACAAGTTGCCTCCGTGTCAGATGCGTAGTCCAGCGACCGCTGACGACGTCCAAGCGTCCCACTGACACTCATCGGTTGCCTACTGCCCAACAAACCGGTTATTAATTTCCAATTGTAAAGAAGCACAAATTATTATAAAACTTTACTATTCCATATATTTATTTAAACTTAAACTAATGGTAGAATTTAGTCAAAGTGATTGAATGATTTACATTGACACTAATAACCTTCAAGGAATCATGGTATTTTTCTTTTTTTCTCTCATAAAATATTTATCAAGCAACTCTTCATAATACATAAAATATTGACAAAATTGGACTTGAATAAGTATTTAACTAGGTAAAGGTACTGTAATGAATTAGCACAACAGACATAATTTATCGATTTACAAGAAAATCCCATCTTGTAGTAGGGATTCCCCCCTGCTTACTATTTTAAATGAGAATACATTTGTAAAATCGTCTAGACTATTAAAACGAGTGAGTGAAGTAACAATGATCATGTCTTTCTACTAACTGCCACCATCTGGAAATTATAGCCTTTCTGTGAAACTAATTTCCAACAGAATAATAGGCAGAAAAATAACCCTGCATTGGAATGACGGGTTGGAACGTATTTGACAAAGAAGTGATAGGTGACAAAAATAAAGGTTTTATTTCACCTATGACTGAAAAGCTAAGGGACGTTCCTGAATATTATTGCAAACCTAACTGAACCCAGTTGTCCATGATCTCATGATATACCTGCTGTGTGAGCTGCCATGTGTACTGCGGTCAGTGTAGTAGCTGCTGATTGTCCCTGGCTTGAGACTAGACCGCAGCAAACTGTGAGTGCCTTGCCTGTGTGTTGTGGCGGGGGAACCTGCACAGAATATAATACAATCAGAAATAGTCCTATGTTGTTCGTTTTCAGAATCTTATCAAGTAATTTGCACTGTAGCATTCTTGAAAATATATAGTTCAACTTTTCAAGCTATATATTGAAATCTATGTTTTAGCCCCTGAGCTGTGATATAACAAACGTCAAACATAACAGGATTTACATTTGTAAAAAGATCAAACAGTTGTATCTTGTGTTATGGCTGTTTCAACATTACATTGCCATCATCAGACATTCCCTGAAGATTCAGCTGAAGCAGCGTTGTCAAAGTCAAAACATAACATGAACTACCTTTTCAACAAACATACCTATATGAAATAACAACAACGAACAGTCCTGTGACACACACAGTATTGGTTGCTTGGCATTGTCATGATTTGAGCAAGACGCTGAACTAATAAGTACTGTGTGTGCAAAAGGTCTGTTTGTTTGTAATTTTGCATGTTTGGTAAATGTTAGTTCAAGTTATGTGTGTTGACTTAGACAACACTGCTCCAGCTGAATCTTCAATGTCTGAGGATGAAAATGCCAAAAACTCCTGTAACACAAGTTGCAACTGTTTGAGCTGTTGACAAAGGTAAAGCCTATTTTTATTCAAGGTACGAGTTTGGGTATACAGTACAGAGTGAGCTATATAGAGAAAGTTATCATTGTCTAAATAATCTATCCTTTTTTATTTTCTAGATATGTGGATATTCACTACACAAACCTCCGTCAAAAGCTCTCTGTCTTTGGTGCGATTCCTACAAAGGCCTCTATAACATAACTCCGGCACTTTTACTACTAGACCAGCCCTTTACTAAATTTCTAAATATACAATACTTTTCCGTAATGCAATCCCTGACTCACCATAATCATACTCCACTCTAGGCAGATGTTGGTCGCTGCCAGATCTAGTGATCACTCTCTGATTGGGCCGAGCGTAGTATTGTGACTGTAGTGAGGACAGGCGAGTGGTGGACGACGTGGCGGACATGCGTCTCACCGGGGTTGTGCTCGAGTTGGGGTAGAACGAATGAACCTACAAAACACATCAAACTATCAGTTTTACAGCAACTGACTTGAGATACCAACCTTGTGTACCTGCCATAAAGCTACATGATTTGGGATTGTGACTACTCTTGCAGAAAAAAGTTAATTAACAAATAAATGTTCACACTCAAAGGTAAGAATACAATATTTTCTAACTCTTAATTTTTTCTTCATAATATGCTCACTATATTAAATTTTGTCACAGCGATGGAAATTGAGAATTTTTCTATTGTTCACAAACACTATTGTCTTTTGGGTACCAGTGTATCTGAATAGACCTGGTGTAAACACTTATCAATTTAATCATAGTTGAAACAGAGTTACAGAGTGAGCTACTGTCAACCTTTTTACTTGGTTTGACCTTTTTAAATAACAAAAATGATGTTATATGATCCATATAAATTGGAGATTTACTTCAGTACCTATCCAAAAGTCAGTTAGCCAACAATCTTCCATGGCTAAAATAACTTTTTGATCATAAAACGTCACCCATAAAATTAAATTCACAATTATGACTGAAAATACATATAAAACTATATAAAAAAATTATTAGTGCAACAATTAATCATTAAAACTTTTAATTCAATGCATTACTTAAACCACTGCTTAAAAAATAAATTATACATTTTCAATAAGTGTTAGGCCTAGTTATTTTTTTAATCAAACTTTCTTTTAACAAAGGGCTGTCTCACAATTTTACATAATTACATACAGTTACATATAATTTTGAGAGGGAATGAAGACTGAAGGTTACAAACAAAACACATGATGTAGGGTAAATGAGCTTGCTTAAAAATGAGAATAAAAAATTACACAGTTTGTGCTTTGTGTTGCTCAAAGATTTAGAGTTTTGGGGTTCTGAAATTTCAAAAAGCCATGCATAATCTGTTTAAATGCTTAAATTTACAGTGGTTGATGTAATACATCAATGTCCATACAAATGTAGAGACAAATTATAAAGGGAAACTTAAAATAAACATAAGTGTCTCATGCTCATGCACCATGCAGAATAGAAGCAGGTAAATAAGATATGAGAAGTGAAATCAGCAAAGTTAGGTAGGTATCCAAATACCATGGGAAGGATAGTAAAAAAAACATTGTTTAGTCAGTCCTGTTAGGATAAAATCATTACTTTTTATGAAACTTCAAAGGGCCTAAGAAACAGCTATACTACTTTTTTCACCTTTAAATTTTTTCTTTTGTAGGCTGAGACCAAAACGAAAATAATTCACACGAAAATAATCTGAAGTTTAGATAATCCCTAGGCTTAAAGTTGTGTTGACATTACGGGGGTGTGTAGTTTCTCATGATCAGCTAACTAGTAATTTTGTTTTGTTTTCTTTAAGTTTATTATGTTATATTGTTGAGGTCAATTTGTCGTTTTGATAGTTGAAATAATTTGTTTGACAGTGTAATCGAAGTATGATAAACACTAAAGTTCCAGGAAAAGCATTGAAGAGTATTGTTATATTCTTTAAGATTATACATTATTTGATAGTTCCTGGGGGAATTCAAATATACAAAACTGTAATTGAATATATTTTATGGATTGTGCCAAGGCCAAATTAAATAAACAGGCCGTAATGCTCTCCTCTGGCATGATGTCATCGTAGGCGACGGCAATAACGTAATTTTTGCCGTTTGTGATCAGCTGCTTGTTTTCTTGGAAAACGAAAAATATAACAAAAAAATAACATTACGTCATTTCCGTCGCCTATGGATGACGTCATGCCTGAGGAGCATTACGGTCTGCTTATTTAGTGTTGCCTTGATTGTGCACAGATTCATAAAGGTATATAGCATATTGTAGTGTTACTAGAGATATGATCATTTTTAAAGTTAACATTATGTTGGCGAGCTGAATCAAATTCAAACTGTACAGGGTTTTGTTTTACCCAACCCTGTCTGTATTGTCTCAATAAAACTTTAATCTTTACTTGGACATAAAATTAAATACACAAAACTTTAAGAAGAAATCGATGATATATTTTACTGTAAGGTGGGAAGAAGACATAACTTAGATAATGTACCACCACGTCCCTGATGACAAAAAATGTTTAGGCCTCTGGTTTGTTGCATCCCAAAGACCATTTTTATTATCTACAATGTTTTGTGTTTTCACATTGTCGATTACACATTGACGTCAGTGGGTCTAGCATATTGTAGGGAGAAACACCACATTTGACTGTCTAGTTTCATCATGAATGGTTTAAATTAAATTATCACACACATTTTTGCAGCGACGATTCTTCTTTTCAAAGATAATTTTTCTCCCACCTTGTATAGTTAAGTTTGTTACGCTGATAAATAGACCTATAGTTTAAGGCATGTAATTAAAAAGGTATTAGACACTATGTTGAGTGTGAATCTTAATCAGGAAATAATTGAAAATATATTCTTGGACACATTACAGTGTATACACTTCAGTTAATCGGCATATAACATTTCTGAGCTAGAAGTGTCAACTTGTGTTAGGTTCTACACCGTAGATAAGTCTAAAGTTCACCCTGTAATTATATAATAGATTAACCATAACCCCATTGGAATTTTGCCTTCAAATTTGAGAGAACACAAGTAGTCATTGCTATAAGTTCTGGGAAAATTGCTATAAAAATTGCACAATTTATTTGTGAATTCAATTAAGTGTAGGTGAAATCACACTCTCCTAAAGCCTGACTGGTTATCATGTAATATATTTTCAATAAAAGGCTCACGTTGGCTAGCCATCACTTTTTCAACCAGTTTTGATAGTGCTGAAAGAATTGATATGGGCCTGAAATGAGGAATGTGTTCAGGCTGCTTTGCTTTGGGCAACGGAAATACCAAAGCTTCAACCTTTATAGAATTTTCCAGATATCGAGCTTCCATAACTCAACGTTAACCTTTAAAAGTGGAAGTTTACATGATGTGCCTCAATTACTTGAAGTTATGCCGTACAGTGCAAGTAAGGTGAGTTTTGATTCCTATCGAGACATGAAAATTCAACTTCCTTTGTTTGTCTGGCAATGGCTAAAACTGTTAGTTTACCAGTTATTGAGAATATTGAGATTATTTTGAGTGCGTTGATTAATGTTGAGATAAAACATTCCTATATCAGAACCGATTTCGCAAGAGAAGAACATTAAGTATAACATGTATGCATGGTAAATTTTGTTATTTTGCTTCCACAGTAACCCTTCAGTACATAAAAGTAACTTGAGCTAGATTTTATAGAGATTTGGGATGTAAAAGTTGAGCTATAAACAAAGGTTATACTGTAACATCATTGTCAGAATCCAACACCTCGGTATCTTAAATTTTCCGTATAGCACTTTCATAACTGGAACCTCGCTTACTCGACAAACCTGATGTGGTAACTCAAATTTTTATCGTAGCCCCTTCAGATTCGAGATATCGAGGTCCACTGTCAAATAGGGGTTGTACTGCTGAAAGATGACAAACTAATTACATTTTGGTACTTTACTGATGAACTCACAGATACCGTACTATATTGTCAATTAATTTTTAAAGTTACTATAATTTTATTTGATTTGATTTACAGTCATAATCATCGCAACACAACAGGGTGACAATCCAAACTGTTAAACATTTCAATAGATGAAAGCCTTTGGATAATATTAATAGGTGATTGTCATCACCTTTTAAACCTTGGTTTGGTTGAAACCAATCAGCTGGCCTTGGTCAGAACCAATTAACGGTTTAAAATATTGTCTATATTTTAACATTTCCAGGGTAAAAATCCAAACACTGAACCACAGATCGTGGAGGAATAAATTTACTTTTAACGTTTTAAATATCATGAAAAAATAAGATAAAACTGTGACAGAAATAAATAGCTTGATTTAATCTTCTGATCTAAATAACTCAGACGAGTTACAGTCGCATGGGTGCATTTAAGCCTTGTAATCCAGTTTATTGAAGCCAATAGCTATACTGTGCAGGCTTACTTCTACCATAATGTGTTTCCTGGTAGGCCTATTACACTATTTTTTTTCAATCCAGGATACCTATCTTTTATTGATTACACAATACACATAGTAATTTTAATGCTCTACACTTAAGTAAGGTTAGAATTACATATATTGGTCACAAGTGACTCTGATAAATGGTGTTTAAGGCTTCAAAATTACCCTGTAAAACTCATTGCCGCAAACCAAGTTTAAAATCATGTTAAAATTAAATTTAGATAATGATTTATAGTTTTTTGAGTAATAATAGATTTATAAACATAATCTTTCCATTTAATTTTTTCAACTAGGTCAATTTGTACAATTTTTTCCGAGTCCTGCTGTTTAGTTTCATAGGCAGATTTATATTTTGACTTAATAATGTCCAACGTATCATCTTTGTATGCTTAAAAACGATAAAAACCTTGAATCTTGAACCTCACCAAGCCATGAATAGAAACCAAGTTCTGTCCAGAATCGGTTACTGTCCAAAACCACTGTGCTTAGAGGCAACAAACCAAAATTGCATCCAAAAATAGCAGTGGTGCGTCAAGTGCATGAATTGTGAATCCTGGTTACGCCTGGCCAAGATATATATCTGGTAGGACAGACTGAGTGATGACGTCACTGCATACACAGCTGTGGTGGCCACCTTGTCATGTCACACATGCTGAGAATGAAAAGCAACAGCAGATTTTGTAAAAGAAAATAAAGCAACCAATGACAACAAACCACGTTCCAACACGTCTCACGAGGAAAGGTGGCTGCTGCCTAACGTCATCACTCAGTCTTCGCCATACATCTTGACGCCTTGCAGAACACAAGCACCTGAGTAACAATTCTTGCTGAGGGACCTAAGGGTGGGATGAGTGCGAGTGCAGAGTGCATGACGTGCTAATGACCTACTGGTGAGTGTGTCTATGTTCTACATTAGGAAGGGGTGTGGGGCTGTCAGTTAGTTAAGAACATTTACTGGGAAGGCTACACCTAGTCTGTACACACTAGACTGTACGGGTACTCACTTTTTCAGCAAGGGATTCTAATGTTTTAGGATATGCCTTATCGTACGGTTGGAAATGCTGAGCCTTTGGTTGTTCTGTGATTACGGGGGGTGGAGGAGGTTGATAAGACCATGTGTTGCTACCGTGGCTTGTTCTTCTATCTAACTGTAATAACAACCCCATTATTGCTTCACATTCTACGACCCCAATATACTGTAGTGTCAGTGTGTAAAACCAAACATTTTAGTTTAAATTAATCTAAAAAAGTTTCTTAAGTTTTTTCCTGGGTGAAATTTGTATATCTTCTCAAAATGTTAATTAATTATGTTTAAGTGTTTCAGGGTATGTGCATGGATTCAAATTGAAGAAGAAAATTGAGTCGGTAAATTACATTGCCGGAAAGAGGGCTGAATTACATATATCTGGATTCCTCATATTTAAGTATTCAAACAATTTCCTGTTTATTGAAGATTTACAAATTGTAGGACAAATTTGATAGTGAAATCAAAGAGTGAATAATTACTGGTTGTTTTCCTAGGTAAAAAAAAACTACTTTTAAATGATTTAAAACAAAATATTGATACACAAGTGAAATGTTATTTAATGGAGGTAATTGAAATATCCATGCAGTTATTTGAAAGTGAAAAATTAAAGGGTATCATGCTATTTTCATGTTGTTTGTTGGCAACCAATTAATAAGTCTGTGAATTAATTGTCATTCTCGTGCAGTTGTATAAAAATGTTGTTTGAAAAAGTTAATCCAAATAAACAGAAATTCAAGTATGCTTTGTTTTTATCAAATCTTTAAGATTGGTTTTTGAAAACTATACTGAATGGTAAATGTGAAAGCGGTTTGGGGCGAGTTTTGCCAGCAAATAGCCTAAACTACCAGCCAGCAGTAAATACGTCAGCTCAACCAAATACCTGTGCTAAGTATCTACAACACTATAGAAAATAACTACAAAACAATACTCTGATTCAAATATTCACAAAAGAGCTTTGCATTGTACAGCGTAAGCTTTTGTGGCTGAAATACATTTGTCTTTTTAGAAATTAGTAACGTTACAGTAGATAGGAATACTTAAGAAGCTTTCTAAATACATGGAACACAATGTTAAAAGTAAAGCAAAATCTTACACCAAGTGAGCATAGATTTACTTTTGTAACTCAATGCTCTAAAATACCAGTTATGGGAAACTCAGCAGTGACCATTTACACTAGCCTAAACAAAGTATGAAACTATAATAAACTGATGTAGCAAGAGTCTGTTAATTAAACGTTTACTTCCATGTCATTAAAGTCACTTACTAATTTTATCAACCTCAATGAATGGATCTGCAAAACATTAATGGTTAAAACCTATATCCTACGTTTTGGTAAATATATTTATCAATTAAGTTTGAAATGTGTATTGAACAAAACTAATGACTTGGTGATGAAAAGAATTAGGGCGCCACAAATGGTACACTTGTCTCAGTTACTTCTATTGTCTAACTCTTAAAAGGTAAAACTATTTTTTTTCTTTTATTAAAATATTGTTATGCACTGATACAACCTTACAAAGACAGCCATTAAGGAAATGATTTAACTGTAGATATGGGTCTTCATTATAAAAAGGAATATTAGCCAAAGAGTCTAAATATTCAAACTTCTTTAAATTTGAACCTGTGTAGGTATAATTATAATAATTTGGGCAGATATTCACTTTTGTAAAATAAATGTTTTTAAGATATGTTGCAGGAAGTAAATTTTACTCTGTGAGCTTTGAACTTTGGTTATTAACACTACTGAACAAGTAAATATATAGGATTTTATTTATCTGGTCGTATTAGTAGTCAGTAGTCTAATAAGAAATTAAACATTTGACATGTGCACAGCACTAATACAGGGTATTTTGTTGATGATTTATACGTATTATCAGTAGTAAGGCATTTCCTGCGAGAATGTATATTGTTCACTTATTAAAATCAATCCATCATAACCCCTAAACTATGTAACTAATACATGACAAATAACTGATGCCAGCAAACTATTTTATCTCTCCTTTGGGTCATTACGATTGCGACATGTTTTGTTATTGTTGTGGCATCATTAAATGTTACAATGCTCTTCACTTTTATGTTCAAGGATTAATATAAATTGTTTAAATTTTCAATAAACAATAATCTAAAATAGTCTAATTTACGGGAAACTGATTTTTCTTACCTATCTTGTCGTATTTCTTTTGTTTAACACAATACTCAAGTTAACTGATTTTCCACACATAATATGTGGTTTGGAAACGCAACTATTAATTTTTTCCTAACTTTTGATGGTTGAGACTTGTTTTAGCTTGAGGTCTCGTCCTGATACATCCAAAAGAGATAGCAGCTAGCTTAACTTTGGACTAGGAACGGGTAGGTCTAAAACACACAGAAGACACACTAAGCTCACAAAATGGTTGCTTTCACAGCTGTTACCGTAACCAATTTGTGAACTATCTTCGTATATAGCCTACTTGTAAAAGACCCCCTGGGTATAAAACACGTGTTTTATGAGTCTTCTGTCTTCTATAACCTACTTTTCCTTCTTCTCTGGTAAGCTAGCTGTTATCCCTTCATTATACGGATGAAAATCCTATAACCTTTTCTCAACTAAAAATATCCAAAACAGAGGGAGTCAACTGTATATTTTCACTACTCACACTCATGGCAGTGTGTTGCGGCTGATGAGGGCGAGAGTTGTAATACAGGTCTCCACCTCCCAGCATGTAGTTGTTGAGCTCGCTGTTGTCTTGCATGTTGAGACTCTGCTGTGACGACCTCAGTGACGTCACGCCCAGCGCCAGGTGAGACCGAGACGTCTGCATGCGCTCTCTCCCCCCTCCCACCATGTCACGCTCGTCACGGTGTGTGCGCCGACTGCCTGTCATGTCCCGGCGCAGGCTGTCAGTATGGCGTCCGTGTGATCTGCAATAACCATCTCTTAGAGACTTTGAATGGATGGATTACATTCTTGTGTTCTGTAGCCAGCATTTTAAGGATAAATTGTGTTGACGCCAATTACTGATTTTTGTTAAAATACGCCTCCTCTTTTAGAAAAATAACAAGCAAAATAAACTGAAAGGACTAAAAAGTAAACAGTAACACCTTTTTATCACACTAACAATCATAGTATGGAAAATTAACGTCAAAAACAGAATCTGTTGCACACTCTGTAATGGCTCATTAACTGTTATAGTCATAGTCATAGTCATAGTTCTTTATTAATTTGTTTGTACATAGTTTGTACAGTAGGCCTAAATAGCGTCATATATAATACAATACTAAATCTAATTAAAATCTACTGTTCTATTTTGACAGAAAAATATGCTACATTTGGTCCTATGAGGGTAAGTCTTCTTTATAGCATCCCAAGTCAATCCCAAGTCAAGTCAAATCAGCTGTTCCTTCAGCCGTTAGTATTAACCATAAACAAAACCGCTCAAAGGGTTGTATTAACCCTATACGCACCGAAAAAATCTACCTTAAAGGATTGATTAGCACTGTGATTCCCATTTTAGACACTCACATGTTGTACCGTCGGTCGCTGAGGCCGTTCTCATCATCGTCGTCATCAGGCTCGTCGTCCCTGGTGAGCTCCTTCTTGATGACCACCACGGGGGGCGGCTTGGGCTCCAAAGTACGACTCTGTTGCTGCGCCGCACTCAACACTCCACGGGGCTGTCTGGTCACTAGCACTAGCCGCCGAGGTATGCTCATGATGATCACAACGTCGTCCAGACTCATCCGTGTCACATCCACTAGGTTCACTGCCAGAATTTCATCCCCGACCTATTGTCAAAAAACCATTAATAACATGCACAATACAGTAGGCGCTCGCTAATCCTGTTCAGGACGTTGGCGGTGCCATAAAGAACATGCCAGATTACTGGACGCCTTCTAGAACAGCCACTGGTGAGGGATTAGCAAAAACACTGCTAAATTTAGAACCAACGTCAGAAGAAAAGCGTTGGCTGGGGAGCGTTATATTGAGTTTCATAGTGCATTCTCTTATTTTAGTGGTATAAAATTCGGAATATAAAAAATAGTTAAAATAAAACAAATTCAATTAAATGCAACCATAGACAAAAGTAATTAAATATAGACTGTCAGCTGTGCTGCGGTTACCATAGGTTCTGGCGCTCACCGCTGGGAGCGCCATGTAGTTACGGCCTACGCGCTACGTAACTACACGGCACTCCCAGAGGTGTGCGCCAGAACCTATGGTAACCATAGTAACCACTGCACGGCTGACGGTCTATATATTTAATTCTTTTTGTCTATGTTGCAACCGACATCTGCTATTCGCTAGCAATTTCTGCCATTTGCTAGCAATATCTGTCGTTTGCTTGCAATGTCTGCCAATTCCTTTTGACTATGCTGAACAAGTCAATGATTTACGAATTGTGAGTTGAAAAATCTTAACTCATCATCTCTGTGTGAAAAATTGAACACTAACTAACTAATACAGTATAGTCCTGCAAACTTAGCATCTGATAAGCTGACAGTCCTGATTTTCTAGGAATAAATTTAGTAGGTACATAAGTTTCTCACAAATCAGGGCCGGTGTTACTTAAAACCCTGTGAGTGACCCAGAAAAACCAAAACTATGGAACTAGGTAGCTTCAATAGTTACATGGTACATTGCCTAAGCCATTTGGACATGAGGACATTAAACCAGGACTTGCAAGGCATACCAGACTATAGCAGCACTGGCTAGTACTCTAGCAAGTCAGTCAGCAGAATAACCATGAACTACTGTAGAAAATGTAGCAACTAGGCTGTAAGCATGTTAAATAGAATGACAAAATGTACATTAAGCTATGTGTACTTTTTTAAACCATAGTTTCTTAAACTCAACAACCTTGTATTACGCTGAGTTTGTGTGATTGTATGTAATTACAATATTACGGTAAAGGGACATGATGATTACCTTAAGACAACCGCTGTTGTACACAGCAGACTCCAATGCTATCCTTGAGATGAACACTCCATCAGAGCGGTCCATCCCGTTGCCTTCTCTAATATATAGACCCAGCGTCTGACCCGGCCTCTTGACAATCTCCACGATGTGCACGGCGTACTTAGAGTCCTGTGTACCAACATAAATAGATAAAAACTCTGAACTAGCACTCTACAAAACAGATGACATTGTCTAAGCATGTGGTGCATAAGAATTGTTGTCACACAAAAATCTAATGCTGTAAGGTTTTTCAAATTTCAGTGAAATAAAATATTTACTTGTACATCAAGTCTCAATATTTAGAAAATGTTACATTAATAGCGCATTTAAATTTTTTCTGATGCAAGCTCCTAAAATTAAGCTACCGGTACACATCTAACAATTAAAAAGAATAAGCACAATAGATCAATAACTGTTAAATCATAGCCTGTAGCTGTGTTTCTTACACAAAGTATGTAGTGAGAAAACTGTCTACTAGAAGTGTGTGATTATTTCTAGTAGATATTCCTTTGTGTGTAAACTAGATAAGGTACAATGTTAGGGATTTCCATAATCTTTTAAATATGTCTTTCTACTACATACTGTTTGCAAATCAAATGTCTATTTGTTTGCAATAAAGATTAAAACATATATAAAACTTTAGATCAAATTTGTTTTAGTTCATAAGGGTTTAATATTTGTTTTACATTATTGCATTTTAGCTCTTTATTATGTATTAAGAATTATACTCCACATGTAATCGTACAAAACGTTAGATACATTTTGATAAGCGTGGCAGCTAAAATCTCATTTTGTCTAAAGTTCAGTCAGTAGCACATTAACCACACTATTCCTTATTTTATGAACATAATAAAGAAGCTAGAGATATGTTTGCATCTTAGTATTACTGCAACCTTAACCAGGTGCTTAACCAACTAAATAATTTTACTACTAGTAACTGAATGCAAGAGAGTCAAATCCTGAAAGTTTGGAACTGTCATCTTTCAAAAATTTAGCAACAAACATTTCGCAAATCTCTGCAGTGTTCTTATCAACAATTTATTACAGGTCATTATAGACTAACCTGCAATGCAAGGTATCGCTTATCCACATCAGCAGCCGCACGACCGAGATGCCTTGGGTCTAACAGTCTTACCACCATCTCCCCCCTCCTCTCCACTGCTTCCAATGCCGCAGCTGTTGTTGCGTCATGGTCATTTTCCACTGTCTCGATCTGCCGAAATATCTCGTTGGAGATCCCGCTCACCTAGGAAATAACATTTTTTAAACCCTTATAAATAAGGCCGACAGAATCTCTAAGAAATCAAATCTCTTTAGAAAAAAATTGAGTAGCCTTATGTACTGTACTTAAGGATTCACTGGAAATCGTAAATTAAAACTGTAATAGGCTTACTGTAGACATACTGCAATACCTATACATAGCATTACATACTTATACAAAACCATGGAAATCTCCTACGACCGTTTTGTCATTATTTGTTGTCCACAATCGTGGCAAAATCTTGGACATCTACCATGTCCATCAGCACTTGTCAATACGTTGTCTCTGGGGTCTCGGCAAAATATTGACATCTCCCGCTGTCGCAGAAATCATAGTCTGCTTTGATCACTGAAACTTTATCGTCTTAATCTATGTAAAAGCGTGACATTTTAAATTGTGTGATTTATGCAGACAAGTCCTACAATCGCTATTACAATGTAATCGTAAAAGCTCTGCTCAAGCTCATTCCGCGACTCAAGCTTATAGTATAGTCTTGACTCAGCTGGAAAATCGAGTCGCTCACACACCCTATGGATATATAAGCTATTGATGATACCTGATGTGATCATCCTGTTATGCTGAGGTCAGATATGAAGGGTTCTGCTACCTATTGATATGCCTATCTCAAGTTTCAATCATACCAACACACTTTTAATTTGTGCAAAAATATGTGTTTAAGATATTAGTTATATAAACAAATGGTTGAGAATAATGGTAAATCACTATGAATATCAGGGATTAAAGCTCTAAATCATATTGAATTTGAGTAACTTAGATTATAAATCAATTAAACCGTGTTAAATTTGGCTGTTTTACCTAATTTTTACCTATTAGTCTTCCTTCAATTAGCTTTAACAAACGGAAATAAGGATGTTTCTTCTGATCACAAAGACTTATAGGATAGCAAAACAGTTTGTGTCTGACAAGCCATGAATTTCAAAAAGATTTCCTTCTATACTGTCAACTTCAAAGACTAAAACCTTACTTACAACCTAGACTTTACTTTAAGGTTTGAATATCCAAGTTTTTCTATTTTACTAACCTTTCGGAAATCCCCCTGCACAACCATGGGTGGTGGTTCCTTAGGCCGCGTGCTACCATTGGTTCCCTGTCCTTGGGCTTGGCGGCGCGGACTAGTGGCCAAGTCCGGAGTCGCCTCTCGCCCCTGATTAACACAACACAATATCACTAAGTTATAGACAAACAATATAAATTAAAAAGCTTAGTTTGGATAGTGTGAAATTCATTTAAACACAAATTATACCTAATTTGAACACTGAACCGTCAAATTAGGTCATGAGGTAAAAGTCTTTCATATCAGTGTTTTAAATAAGCATTCTTGCTTGGCTTATAGTTAGGCTATAACTTAAGGCCTAAAGTGAGTTTGAAGGATTGATTGATTAACGCATAATTTTAGAATTGCTGAACACGTTTACCACTGAGTTAACAGATAGTGGAGTGGTAGTGACGAACGCTAGGCTCCAGTTTGATTTTCTAATGCTTTGTCTAGCCTAATTCAGATGTAAACCAATAGCCTACTGTGATGACATAACACTCTGCCCTAATCTCTGCTCACTGAGATCCTCCAATACAGTCACGGGACTAACTTAAATATAGGCCTAGGGTCTACGTTGTTTTTCCGCTTTTCCGGAGAAACGGTGCTCTTCCGGGGAAAATGACAATCATTTTTGATTCAGGATGTTAAGTATTTAGCATAAGAATAGTGAAAAAATATAATTTTAGCAAGACGTCCGTGATAGATATTAACTTAATTACCCATATTTTAATCAATATGAAATGAAAATTTAATCCAATAATATAACTTATTGAAGGTTCTCTGCGAAACTGTACCCCAAATAACATTAGGCCTAACTAAAGCCTAGCCTAGACTTACAGGTTGCATATAACCCACAATGGTTTTCACACAGCCAAAGCCAAGCCTAAAATAACCATGAAACAGTGAAGCGGAAAACCACAACCTTTTAATTTAACATAGCCTATTGGTCGTCAGTTCAAATCAAGAGAGCCTACTACGGCTGCACTTTACTTGACGTCCTACACTCATTCGAATGAAAATATCGATCGATATATCGATTAATCGATTGCTTCATTCGATATATCGTTTGGTTAGTTAGGTAAGGTTAACCTAACCTAACTAACCAAACGATATATCGAATGAAACAATCGAATGAAAATATCGAATCGAAAAAACAATCGAATGAGTGTAGGACGTCAAGTAAAGTGCAGCCCCTACTACCACTAACAAGGCTAATTTACTTCCACTACAAAAGAATTGCTGGATATTTAAGAGGGATTAATAGGCATGATTTTGTATCATTCACTCAGAACATAAGCGATAGGGCTATAGGCTGAGAAGGGGCAAAATGTCACCATTAAAAGTAGGGGCTGTGACACAAGTTATGAACAGTTTATCATGAACACAGTTAGGCATTGATCAAGAATAAAAAGACTATCATTACAAATTGAGTGCCTCGTGTTAAACAAATAAGTGCCAAAATCAATAATAAATAGGCCTAGGCTATAAAGAGGTTGCATTTTAAGGCTATGTAGATTGGAAACTATCCTTTGCATTCGTATTTTAGAGCCTCTCTGTGGTTAACTTGTTAGCAAAAATTTAAAATACATAAGGTTTTAACATACCTATAGTCAAACATTTCACGATTATCTTCAGTTGTAACCTAAAAATGCTTTACCAACAACAAAATAATAATATACATATTACGACTTAGAAGAATAGAATAGAAATATGATGGAATTCTAGACACAGACAGAGGATTTAAGTAGGAATATAACATTTTGACAGATTCGGAATTTGTTTATACTCAAACTGTTTTTGATTGGTTAAAATGCTGATGTTGAGTCAGTTGAGTGCAGACGAACGGAAGTCAAATTATTGATCTTCCTAACACCTGTTAGTTCAGTCATTGCTGACACTGCCTTGTGAATTATGTCGCTCTATACTATACACATGTATATTATATACTGTGGTAAAGAGAATCTTGAGCTTTTCAACCACCTTGGAAGAGGTCAGGAGGTATAAATTTGAAAAGTAATTGACTCTGAAATGAAGTAGACTCCCTCCTCAAGTCCCAAGTATCATCACCAAGACAACACTAGTACAATCTAGCGCCAATAACGTCGTACCAACAGACCGTGTTAAATTTGCATGAATCTCAATTTCTTTATAAAAATGCCTCAATTCTAATAATTATCATCAAAATTATGCTCTCCACTGAAATAAAATATAATAGAATTCAAAATTGAAATCGTCAGTTTAGTGTTTAATTATAAGGACTACATTCTATCGTAATTTACAAAAAAATTTTGAAACCTCAATTGAAAAAGTTTACTCTAAAACAAGAATTTGTTTGTAGAAACACTATCCTCACTGTGCAATGAATATAATTGATGAATTTAGCGTTTATTGACTCACAATAGCCCTCACCTTTCGTGTGAAGAAGCAGCCGGAACTGGAACCCCGATCACACATAATATTACACTAATAACTTCGACTATAAATATAGTATTAATTGATAAAATAAGCGTAGTAATTAACCACAAGAATTGTCGGCATTTTTACCGATTACGAAGGAAAACGGCCATGACTGAACGAGGCTCGCGGGCGGGGAGCACTGTCGGGAGCATGCGCCTTCCACCCCATTCTACTCCCGTATCCCGTAGTATCTGTCCACTCCAGTTTTGATTTTCCCAGACCTGGATTGTGCTTTGGTGGGGCAAGACGAGACGAGACACAACACAGCCGTTTCATGAATTAAAAACCTAGCAAATCACATTCCTGGTTGAGAAATGTCTCTGTTAACCTCACAGTTTGATTGATTACTCTTATATAGGGGTCGGATTATTTTTCTTGTATTATCTCTCGTTTTATGATGATTGTATTTTATAAATCTTTTAAAATCATAATAAATACTACATAAAAAATACCAAAATCAGTGATTCAGATAAAGTTTAAATTAAAGTTGTCCGTTACGTAGACTTAAATGATACGCCGTTTAATCTATAAATAATTAATAATATAACTTTACGATTAAAAATTAAAACACCGTACTAGCTTTACAAATTAATATTAGTTTAATCTGCATTACAAATATTTCACATTTATTAATGTCATCGTTAATTTTTAGGGTAAAATATTTCACATTTTCAACAATTAATTTATCCTTAAATCATAGAATTAGAGTACACAATTTTTACTATTCGATTCGATTGAGCTCTAAAAGAACAGTTTTCATCCAAAAGCTAATAATTATTCTGTAACCCCAGAATGAGCATTTAGATTAAAAATAGTTTGAATCTTACTGCTTCCGTCATCTACTTGATATGTCAAGCCTTGTTGTACAAGGGTATCAAGTTAGCAGAAAAATCTTGACCCCTTAAACTGCGTATTTATAACGCCATAGAAGAGACGAATAATATGATGATTATCGTGTTAAAGTCTTTTATCCAATAAACACTTTCTTGTGATCTGATAAAAACCTAACACTCTAACACCACCATCTTTGTAATACAACTAATGGAGAGTCAAAAAAGTTACAAAAAAGAGTTAAACAGTTAGTTGTCGAAAAAGTGAAACATAACTTTTTCCCTTTTTAGCGTTCTATAAGCTTGTTTTGATTTATAAATAGATTCAATTGCCCAATTTTTGTTCAACTCTAACAAAATCCTTATATTTTGGCTCAAGGCAATAACTTATTTTCATTTTTAAAATACATACGATTTTGTAATTAGGTTTTTTAACAAGTCAACCTCTAACATCCATGTAACAACGACAAACTGAAAGTAAAGAAAGTACACAACCTTAAAAATTGAACAAGCAGTTTGTATACAGTGTGTAAATTAAGTATGGAAACAAATCTGTATTTTTAAAACCGAAATAGATAGAAATATTCTATTTGTGGCAATAATAGTTAACAAAGATTCCGCAATTTTTCACATGAAAAATATTTTTTTACCCCCCTAACAGGGTAGGTGGTAGGGGGTGACTTATTTTTTTCAAATAGCAACCCCTATTGAGTGACCCCTCATTTTGAAGGGTTTGTCAAAAGAAACACAATGACGCAAATCCGAGGTGAATATCTCACTCCTAGCTAACATGGCGGATATTCCAAAATGGGCTTTTTTTTACAAAAATTAAATTTTTCATTACCCACCATTTAGGCTAGGGGTGAAATATCTACCTCGGGTTTGCGTCATTCTTTTTCTTTTAACAAACCCTTCAAAATGAGGGGTCACTCAATAGGGGTTGTTGTTGAAAAAAATAAGTCACTCCCACCCCCTACCCTGTTAAAGGGGTTGAAAAAATATTGTTGATTAAAAAAATTGCGGAACCTATGTCAACAATCAATTCCACAAACAGAATATTTCTATCTATTTCGGTTTTAAAAATACAGATTTCTTTCCATTATTTGTGAAATTGGTGCTTTTCACGTACAATAAATCAAATTTTGGAATATCCGCCATTTGGGCTAGGAGTGAGATATTCACCTCGGATTTGCGTCATTGTGTTTCTTTTGACAAACTCTTCAAAATGAGGGGTCACTCAATAGGGGTTGCTATTTGAAAAAAATAAGTCACCCCCTACCACCTACCCTGTTAGGGGGGTAAAAAAATATTTTTCATGTGAAAAATTGCGGAATCTTTGTTAACTATTATTGCCACAAATAGAATATTTCTATCTATTTCGGTTTTAAAAATACAGATTTGTTTCCATACTTAATTTACACACTGTATAATTTAAAAATGGGTTTCCACTTGTACTTAAAACTACTGTATTTTACACAAACTATAAGATCAATAAGTTTGGTTCAAAACCAAAGTGTTTTCAGCCAATAAGGAGAGTTTCCCAGATTATCGGAAAAGTCTGGTAAGTTTGAAAGTAGAACCTTCGTTTGACTATTCCAATACACGACAGCTTGGAATAAATCTGAGATATATTGGTAGAGGACAATGGAGCCAGAGAATGGCCATGATAGTGGGTCAGTAGACTTGTGAGCATGCTGGTATGCGAGATTAACATAGCTGAACAAATACTCACCACTTTTAATATGTCCAGTATAAATCTTATACCTTTTGAATGTTTTGGTTAAAAATATAAATTTTTTCAACAAATAGTGGGTTGTGTTC